TCAATTCGCCCTACTTTTCTATCCTTGTAGCCTCAACTTGACCGATGCCGCCCCCAGGATTTTATACTCACTTACCACCCCATGATTTTTACAGTTATAATTATGTACTTCGGGAAGCCTGATCCTGTTGGGTCAACAATGAAAGCTATTTCGTTCACACGTTCACGTTAATCTCTCTTATATTCTCTCTTATTTATCCAACTGCACAAAGTAGAGTACAAATAACGCTCGAATAGAGTGCAAATATCCTGTGATATTGTACGGTTATTTGGTTATTTTGTACAATAAAAAAAAACTGTTTAAGCAGTCGAGTAGAAAGACTTAACAGAAAAAAAAAGCAGTTGGATAACAGGTATCTTACGAGACGTTTTGGTGTGTAGTATCGCTGAGTATTTTTACGAGTTGTACCGTATTTTGAAGAGCCCGTAAGGCGGAGTCAAAATACCAACAACGGGTAAAAATATTTAACTATTCTAAACACCAAAACGTCTCATAAGATATGTTTATTTTCTGTGTTTACAAATTTATTTCTGTATATCTTTGAGACACGTTTATTGTTCGCATTAAATAATGGTGACACGTCGTCAACGAGACGTCATTTTTTAATATCTCTCATTTTCATTCTAAAAATAAATAAATATATAAAAAAAAGATAAAAAATACAGTCTTTTTGGAAATAATTTCCCGAGGAGCCCTGAATTAGCATAAAAACAATAGTTTAATAGTTTTAAGGTGGCTTCGTTTTAGCAGATCGATTCCACTCTTTATTATGATGGTGTCAAAGAATTTGTGTCCGTGTTTTCATTTTGTCGTCGTGTTGCTGCGTTTCGGATTCATGCAGCTTTTTAGTGACAAACTGTCGTCTATCACAAGTGAAAGACTATAACACCAAACTTGTGCAACGAAGCTAAAAGAGATAAAAGAAAATTCTCGATTGAAATCAAACGTATCAGAAAATGACCGAACAACAGGGGCTCACGAAAATAAAATTTCAGCGAAAGGAAGAAAGAGTCCGAGTCTACGGCGTCCCGTTTGGTACGGCAGATGTCTGCGAGCAGAACTCACAAACGAAACGTCATTCCAGAACGGTCACTGGGATAATTTTGTTTTGTTTCTTTCTTTGTTTTGTGTCTAAAATGGTGTTTTTTTTTTGTAGACAACAATAAGGAAGATGCTCCCTCCACGTCCCTTTTGACAACCGGCGATAAATTTCCACCAATTGAATATCATTCGTGATAATATAATTTTTTCTATGGAAATATGAAACCATCTCACAATAGTTTTTTCAGATGTTATTGGATTTGGTCGAATCTTCGGCCTAAAAGTCCAATTTTGTTTTAAGATGAAATCAATTTTGTTTTTCAACTTCTTTGCTTCCTTTGTGTTTGGAAAAGCCTCAAGCGAGCCACACGGGATTGAAAACTTGACAGGTAAGTTGCAATTTAAAATGCAAGGACTTGAAAAGCGCTTCTAGCGAAAACAAAAACATGTAATTTTTGATGAGGGAAGTCATTTTAAGACTCCCCTACCGGTCATCTTCTTTTTACAAGCCAATTGTAGATATCCGTTGGAAATCAAGGAAATCTCCATGGTTTTTGGTGGTGATAGTGTTCGGACGGCTTCAGGCGAAGAGGTGAACACCAAGGGCATTCGAACGTCGCGTGCCCTTGAGAAACGAAGACCGCAAAACGGCACTCATCACCGGAATGAGATATGGATCTTGGCCAAGTTACTGAATGAAAGTATAGTAACAGGTATTTCCACGCTTGGATATAATGACTCCAGTGAGAAAGAATGGATCACAGATTATATGCTGATGTATTCCACTGGAAAAGAGTATTTGAGTTTTAAAGAAACGAGTGGAGAAGTGAAGGTACGACGATACTTGGTTATTGCAGTTTATTTGGCGCCGTTTCTTTTTTTATTTGAATTTTTATAGACATATGGTGTCATCGTCCCTTTTGACGTAGAAATCAAGAGAAACATATCACTTATATGAATATCGCGTGGTTCGTTTAAAGAAAAATATTTTCCTGTCTAAATGTGCGTGGCTCTTTATCAAGAGTAAAAAAGTGAATATGTTAATACTCCATTGCTGTCCTAATCATTTCGATTTAAATTCAACTGTCATGTCTTTTACTTAACTCATTTTGAGATAAATGTTTGGGTTTATCAGTGAATTTTTTCTTTATTAATAAAGTTGTGCGCTTCGTAAAAAACTTCTGCTTAGGTTAAAAAACACCATAGAGGCTTGTCGAGATCTGTGGAGTTGAACTTTTAACGCATTTATGGCCATATTTAGATATTGATTTGCCGTATCGAGAATATAATATCTTGCACTCAAACCCCTCCGGCATAGCGGTATTTCGACCCTACAATGTACATTTCTTAAATTGTTTTTTAATTAAAGGCTTTGAATGCGGGAAATGAAAACAGAGAAAGGAAAGGAATTCAATTTACTCCACAAACATATTATTACAGAATCGGGGATATATATTTGATAGGTTTTTTTCTTAGCTTATTTCTTTGATCTGGGCCGAAAAAAAATCATTTGAAATAACTTGCATAATTTTTTTTGTATCATAAAGTGCGTAGCTATCGGAGCTGTGATATGACCGAAATCTTTAAATGATGGACACCTTCAACTAATTTTCTAATTCACGCTGTAGAGGCGAGAATAAACCAGATGGGGACACGTACTTATAGAAATGGAGAAGATTAGAATAGGCTTTTAAAGAGGGACTTATTAAACTTGATCACAAGAGTACATAACGTCGTGTGGTTCCTTCACAAGGGAGCTTTATTGAGCACGGCAGGAGGTGTTACCCTCAACTTTGGAAAAAAGACTTTTAAAGGGCTGCCACACGAGTTATTATTTCCATTTTTTTTCCACGAGTTATTATTTCCAGTTTTTTGAACCCATTAAAGGAAACAGTCTGAGCTGAAATAAATATTTTGGGCTAGTTGGAAGCAAGCACCATTATGAAAGAAAAGTTAGAAACAGAAATGATCTATTTTGACATTTTTATTCCCAGCCACGAGCATAGCAATTAATTTGCCTAGCTCGAGGCTTAATAATAAATCGACCACAGCTTTTTCGCAGCTGATTTTTACATCCAACCGGAATTTTTATTAGTCATAGCAGCGGCATCTGTTTGCGCGCAACATATAACGCAAAAGTTAGCTATTTTATAGAAGAACTTTTACTCATTCATGTGTAAAATTGTTATGCTTCTAGAATTTCACCGGAAATAACGACATTTTCACACAACGTTACAACTACGTCCCACTTCCGGTTATTACGGGCCTGGTTATGGTAATACCGCTGGGATGGAACAATAATATTGGCTTACGAATGCAAATTTATGGTTGTGCTCCGGGTAAGTCTGGTTAGATTTTACTCATTTGAGTCATTTCTTGGAGATTTTTTAGCAAAACTGCCCTTGAAGTTGTCAGTTTTTTTATATTTGTAAAATTTATTAGATTATTTAAGGTAAACTTTTTATGAATTTTTGAAAGAAATTTGCTTGAAACATCAGTCAATCTTCAAACATTTGTTAGTACCAGCATCTTTAGAAAATGAGTAATTGATGGCCAGAGGTTTAAGAACTCTCCTCTCGTTCACCTCCCAATTCCGGTGCAAAATGTTGGCACATTTTGCGACAAAGGAGACAAATTAGATCCTGTCTTTCTTGGATGGCTGTTTTTGATAAAAACGTTTCCCTAAAGGCCGTCAATTTATTTCCCTTATGAAACAGTCAAACTTATTAGTGAAGAAATGAAGCAAAACAAAACTAGAAAGCACAAACTATTGATTAATGATAGAAATAGGCCCTTTCATCATTTTGTTAGGTTGTTCTTTATATATATAGACCTACATTGCAGTTCGAGGGAATTACTTATGACAAGTTCCGTTCATCCACAGGTTACTACTTTTTGGCGAAGCTAAAAATATTTGAACTTTTTGCATTCAATGATCTCGAATGTTCGGATAACTCAAGAGAACTGTATCAACACTGGTCAGCTAAATCTACAGACGAGGTACATTCGAACAATCTAACAGTTAATCACGAATCCTGCTTTGATCTGCAATTAAAAGCTCTATCACTAATCCATTGCCCCTTATATACGAGTACCTAATTTGTCGCATATGCTTTCTGTTTCCCAGGGAAGGGGTGTACAAATGTTGGGCTAACATGTCATTCACTGTAACCTTTACATTTTCATGTAAAAATGTTTCCTAAACTCGCTCACATATCTTGTACCATGATTTCTCTTGCAGATAAGACGTCTTTTAGAACAGACTCAAGGGTTTCTGCGTGTGACGTTTCGACGCTTTCGGTGGGTGCTCTAAGTGTTTTAGTCATGCTGTACTCTGGGGTTGAGATGAGCTTTGAAACCTTTAATGTTTTAGTTATTCTAAAAATCGACGTTCGATTTTCGATGGAAACAGACTCTCTCCCACTTGGTAGCGAAGCAGATGTGAAAAAAAAATTAACACTTTTAAGTATTTTTTTGTTGTTGTTTTACTATACAGGTTGAGTGCACGGTCGTTTAAACCATTGGTTTCCGCTGAGTTGGAGATACATTGTATCAAGGAAGCTTCCTCCTTCGTTTCTACGACCCTGGAAAAAAAAGTGTCTTCAGAACGCATCGAAATCTACTATCCTGGTGGGTAAAAGAATGTATTCAGTTGCAGTCGAGCAGATATTTTAGCAACTCCATGGGTAGCAAAGAAACTTGCAAAATTTTATTTACTGCACCACTCAGCTTGAGTTGTGAATCATCAAATGAATTTTCCTCAACTCGATGGCCCCTCATCACCAACGTTTGTCCCAGTTTATTCAGCATAAACCTACCGTGGGTTTTATTTTTCCATCCTAGAGCCTAAGGATGCTGTTCTAAGGCAAATGTCCTTCCCAGAAATTTTTAAGAACTCTCTTACAGTTTAGATGATAACGACTCGTACTCCTGAATAGAAAATTGGCACTGCGTGAGTAATGTCCTCACCAAAAACAGCTGTCAAAGAGTTCTTGTCAGGGCTCAAACTTGGATCTCTCAAATCTTGTCTAGATCGTAGGTGAAGCTGTCCTAAAGGGGCCATAAAGAAAATAACTTAATTTTGGATATTCATTCTTTCTATTAAATAACAGATTAACATTTGATTTAATTGCAGGAAATTCCAGTTGTTATTCCCCTGATGTCGAAATTCACGTCGTTAATAAGAAATCTTTAACCAGGAAAGTTTTCACAACCTCACGCCCGAAACTGCTCCCGGTCATCTCTCGCTGTGACACCAGGCCCATGCGATTAAGTTCTTCCTTATGGGAAATGTCACTTGTCTGTGACGAAAATCAAAATCTTACATTTCAAAAAATTAGCCTTAAGGAGAGGTTCGTATTTAACCCTCGCAAGATTTGTGGATATTGCAATACTCCCTATTCAATAATTATCAGATATTCAGCACGTCTCAATGACCCTGGTGGAAAAAGGATAGAAGCTTTTAACCTCCTCAAGGTGGAACTGCCAGAACTTTTAGCAGAGATAAAAGGCCAGCAGGAGGCTAGCAGAGGAGTGTCGGGTGAAGTAATCTTAAATGCTTCGCAGTCACATGATCCAGATAGCCTAGCTTATGGAGTACTTAGTTTCAATTGGTTTTGCAGTTATAAGATGGATAACACGTCTTTAAATGAGAGCTGCGGTAACGGAAAGATGACCTCAAACGGATCAATCTTGGTCGTATACGTCAATAGACTAAAGTCAATGCAGAGCTACTATTTTAAAGTGCTGATTTCAAAGGGAAATAGGAAAAAAGAAGCAACTCATGTGCTTAAGGTGCATCCAGCTGTAAACTTCACTTTCAGGTAAGACAGAAATGCGTTTCGACATCTTTTGTCAGTCGGACTGCCATAATTTTTCTTTGGAAATTAGATTGCATAAGAAACGAAAAAGTTAGAGTAGAAAAGGGCCAACATGTGATCCAGTCTAACGCTAACGAGCTCGTAGTATGGGCTTGTCTTAGATACCCGTGCATTTCTAGTCCAATTCAATATGCTATACAAAATGTCTTCCTGATACTAATGGCTACAACCTTTCTTGGGGCTATCAGAGGCAACTGGATCCTACCGAGATGAAACGTTTAAGTTTTCACTCGTAAACTCGAGAAAAGGGCAGGCGAGGGGATCTTGCTTTTTCGTTTAGTTATACTTTTATTTCTGCTGCTGAGCGATTATCTAATGACGATTATATATTAATAGTGACAATATCTTTAATTGCAGATGTATAACCAATTGCGGTGAAAAGGTCATTCAATCCAAGCCGTTGAAGCTCAAACCCATTTGTGAGGGAAAACTATGCAATTTGATTAGGAACATAAAATGGCATGTCTACATTTTTCATTCCACGAACCATAGCCGTAGGTGGAAAAATTTACAAGCATTTACCTGTATATCTCCAAGAAAATTGAAAACTTTTTCCGAGAAGGGATTTTCCATGAAGAATATTTCTGATGAAACCAGAAACCCTCGGATAAAGATCAAGGCTACGATTGGAATACAGATTAAACATGATTTGATCCACGAAGATTACGAGAAAGAGTTCGTTGTGAATTCCTTGCCTGATGAAAAAAATGAAGGAGGTGGCTGTTCTGTCACCCCTGATGACGGTTTCGCAGTGGAAACGTTATTCAATATAACTTGCGTTGGATGGAATGACGAGGATAAACCCCTAAAGTACGAGTATCACTACAACACGAGCGCTGGCATAGTAATCAATTATCCAAAGGCAATAAACAACATGTTGTCTACACATCTTCCCGCGGGGGATAGAGCAAAGGACTTCGAGTTACTGGTGGGCATTATTGTTAAGGATAAACTTGGAGATAAAAGAACCAGCAAAATTAGAGTCAAGGTAAGACAGTGAATTTTACAATTTTTAAATTTTTCCTCATTAAAAAAAAATTATTTTGATCTTTGGATAAAGATCAAGAAAAGAAATGGGCTAAGAAGCCTCAAGCTGGGAGCGAGGCAAATTTTAGACGGATCAACTTTTACTAAAAGGAATCTGATCAGAACATAATCATTTATCCTTAATCAGATTTCATAGATATCTTGCATAAGGCAGAGGTGACCAGGAATAATCGTTTGGAACCTTGGATAATTTTAAAAAAATACAATTGCGGGAAATTAAATGTATTTCAGGGGGCGATGAGAATAGGAAGGCAGTCTACTCTAATGAGTTGGCAATTGAAATCATGTATTAAAATTTAGCGTTGGGAAGGTAAAGAGGTTCATCTCTTCGAGATTTTTCTCAAAAGAAATGATTTAAAACCCACTTTTTTAGTCTTAAATTGTGTTTTTCAAATTTAAGATTGCGTGACCGCTTGTTTCCGCTGTAGCGCTTCTAAAACATGTTTCAGCAGTTTTTTTTTTCATTCTGAGTAGGTAAGGGACCAGGACTCAGTGATGGAAACGTTACATAAGATTGCAAACGGAAGTAAGAACAAATTCATAGACTTGGCAAACACGAGTGAGTATAAGAAGGCCAGCGAGGTGGCGATTTCGGTGCTGTCAATTGTGGAACAGAGGAGGCACTCGAATGATTCAAAGGTTAGTTACCTTTTGTTCATCTCAAAAGCAGTACGAATTTTTGCTACAAATAGTTACAAAAAACAATAACATCTCAAGGGAAAAGTGAAATCTCAAAAGGAAATACTTGCGATCAAACACAAGAGGAAAAGGACGAGATAGCAAACTCATAGTTGGTTTTACAGATTATTTATGGAGGATTGTTTCAGTTTTTTTGACTAGAGCGAAAAAAAAAGCCATTTCAATCGATACTCAACTGAAAATTATTATTGCTGTAGCTTGCTATGATACAGAAAATTTGTAGCTAGCTTTAATAATTAATCAGATATAATATGCAATTTCCGGGGAAACATGGAGTAATTTTTTCTTTCGCTCTATCTAATAGCGAGGTGCAATATCAGAGGAAACAGCTCGGAAGGTAAGAATATATAGATTAAAAGCCACATGCGAAGTCACGATTAGCTCATGGTTGCCTTTTTAAAAAGAATTACCTAATTAAGTTTTTTACTTATGCCTAGCTGAAAGATAATACCATAAACGCACTGAAAGGAGCTAGAATCATCGATATGGACATTTTCACAAAAGTTACTTCGGTGGTAGCCATGGTAACCGACGAAAGAGACGAGATATCTCAAGATGAACAGGTAACATGAGGTATTTATTTTACCGCTCGGTACAAATTGTTAGGCAACTGTTTTTCCTGTTTGCTATCAAGTTAATATCTTTAGCTATACCCTGTTTAGAGAGGAAAGAATGTCATAAAACAGGCTTTAGGCTTTGAATGGATAAAATGAAGAAGTTGACAATCTTTAGGTGAATTGATAACAAAAAGTAAATGCATTTGGCCTATTTTATATTGTACTCAGGGAGTGGCATTGGAACTGCTGGAAAATGCGACAAATTTTCTGTCCTCGTTACTAGCGAACAAAAGCGAAGATGCAGATGCACGCACGGTGGCAGAGATCAGTTCGAAAGTATTACTTGGGTTGGGAAATATTTTGAGAATATCTTCTGAAGATGCCAGAAACTATGGACTTGGCTCCGCAATTGGAAAACATTGGTATAATGTGGACAAGACTAAGGTATTGCAGAATACTCAAGATTGACAGTGTAATTACGATATGATTTTTTACTTCACTAACTTACACTCCTCACTGGGGTACCCGTTCACTCTGGATTGGTCATTACTAAACCATGGCATTTTACGTTGAGATGAGAAGAACACCCCAAAGCATGACGAGTGTCGTCAAAGCTTGGTTCAACTAAGCCAGGTCACTGTAGGTCAGTAAGCTCAGAGGTTTACCTCATTCAGGCTTCGTCACGAGCCAACCACCTTTTAACAAATTAAAAATTTCCACTTTTCCTTTATTTTTCATTTGCAGGGAAGAGCTATTGCCATGAAAGCTCTTAAAGTTGCATGGAAACTTCGAAATCTCCTCATGGTTACCAAATCTGCTGTGGAACCTGTGGTTGTTAACAGTCGCTTTCTGTCCATGGTTCTCTTCGTACAGGATAAGTCAAACGCAATAGTAGAAATCGACAAGATTAAGTTTAAACTACCGAATTACAAAGAGACACTCAACGCACAAGGAGTAAATGGGGCTGATCTCACTTGCAAAGTGGTGTTATTCAAGATAAATCCTTACACCTGGCACACTAGTGCAGCAAGAGGTAAGTTGTTGGTTCATTTACTGTTGAAAGTACCAACAACGTGGGGGACAATTCACTTCTCTTTGGCGAGAATCATATAAATTACAATTTGTTACGTGAGGTCACAGTGAAAAGCCATTCCTTGTGAATTGCATCCAAAAAAGTTACTGTAACTCCTTTTCTCCCTACGATCATACTATCGAACTAAGAACTGCTTGACAAAATTCTGTGGTTTGGACAAATATTTTCATTCTCCATGTCATTCGAAATTATTTATCGCTGCAACTGTCCATGTAACATGTTACTTCACATTTTCTTAGCTTTAAGTGGTGTTTCTGAGAAACCGTACGCGTAGCCATAAAATCAATAATATGACTGGAGTCGTAGTCGTGAGCTTTAAGATGAAAACACAACGTAAAAATCGTAAAAACAAATATTTCGGCTAACCAACAAGAAAACAACCTAAGAGCAATATCATAATGAGACTGACCATTTTGAATAGATGGTACACTCTTTTTTTCTCTCTTGTAGTCAAATCATGGGTTATTGACGTTGTCCTTCAGCCTGAAAAAAAGAAAAATTTGTCTTTCTCCAATTTAAAGAAGCCAGTGCAGCTGTATATACCGCAGAACACCAACAATGGATCTAAAGGTGATGTCCTGAGCAAGACAGTGCATTATTTTGTCAAACCAAGCTTTGAAATCAACGACTCTAAGTTTATACAGTACCATGAAGTTAACATTCCTCACAAACGCGATGTAGTTTATGTAAAACTGAAACCAGAGAACCTATTTCCTGTCTCTCTACGTGTCTATGTGAGCTTTTATGATTACCCCACGCCAACGAAGCACACCTTTTCAGTTGCAATACCATGCAAGCTCGGAGAACCGAAATGTGGCAACGATAGCTATATCTTTTCTTTCAATGCTTCTGATACTGGCCATACTGGAATCCACTACATTGGGATACACTATTACGAGAACAATAGCCATACAGACATGCCTCTTCACAAAAGAGCAAGAAGAAGTGTTGATCCCAAGACCGGACTCCGGAGCTATTGCAAAGACGGAGGAAGACGAAAGAAACGATCTTGTGTTGGCACGAAAGATCCGCCCCCAGCCCCCACGCCTGTACCCACCATTTTGAGGCCAGAATACAATGCTTCTACAGATTTAAATTACACCTTGGTGGTATCAGTCGGGAGTTGCTTCTATTGGTCTGAAGGAAAGGAGTGTTGGACCGACGAGGGATGTAAGGTAGGGATTGCTGCTGAAATGATGAGTATAAAAAACACTTAAGTAAAGTACATCTTCGATTATAATGGCTTTCATACCTTGTGTCTGCTGGGGTCGTAAGTGGTGGTGGGTCGCAAACAAACCCACCCTACTCCTCCAGTCAAGAAATTTGTCAATGACGGTATTTTATTGTTTTAAAAGTTTCTTTCATCTGGTTTGCTCCTTTAGATTGCACCAGAAGTAGTTTCAGGGAATATCTACTGCCAATGTAACCACCTATCTTCTTTTGGCGGAGCGTTCTTCGTGGAACCAAATAGAATTGAGTTTCACAAGGTCTTTGGTGAGTTCAGAGATCTCAGGAAGAACTTCGTCGTCTTGGTAACGGTATGCAGCATGCTCTTGATATATTTTATTGGCCTCGTCTTCACCCGCCGGGCAGACAGACAAGATACACAAAAGGTCAGGAAATAAAATGTTGCTATACACTTTTTATTCAGGAAGGATAAAGAGACTAGACATCTGAATAAATGTAATTTGAAAAAGATCTCCAGTACAGCATAAACTTGAGCTTAGGGGCCTGGTTTCTGCCACCCAATGACATTTTCGGTGCAAGAGGTAAGTAAACAACTACACTTGGAGCGTTTTCAATTAATCAGAGCTGGTCGGTCAGGCTAGCCACGAGATAAAGGAACTCCATTTTTAATCTCGAGTACTAAACTAGATTATTAAGAGAATATAACGTTCTTTTCTTTTCAGTGGGAGAGAACTCATAGTTATATCAGTGCTTACGCGTCTTTTTATTCTAAATAACAAGAAAAAGTAGAAATTGCAGCTGTGCCAGAGAGAGAATTATTTTTTAATTTGTCGCTACTAGATAATACCAAATGTTTATCTTCCGGTTGGCGACGAGGAAGGACCACATCACTACCACATATCCATTCAGACAGGAATGTGGATAGGCAATGGAACCACAGCCAGTGTTGGAATGATAATTTACGGCGAGGACTCCTACAGTGATATGATCGTCCTTAACGACTCATCTTTCCAGAAATCGTTTTTCTCTCGTGGAAGTATTAATACATTTACAGTATCTTTGCCAAGAAGACTGGGGTCGCTTTACAAAGTAAAAGTGTGGCACGACAATAGCGGCGAGAGTCCTGGGTGGTTCTTACAAGATCTAGTTATAACGGAATTGGAAACGGAGGAAAAATGGTATTTCCTCACAAAAAGATGGCTGGCAGTCGAAAAAGGTAAGGGAGAGATCGAAGTAGAACTCAAAACTTCAAACAAGAAGGAAATATCTTCGTTTAAAAACCTTTTCTACTTCAGAGCTTCAAAGCAACTAGCTGATGGACACTTATGGATTTCTGTCTTCGCAAAACCACCTCAGAGCCCCTTCACGCGGACGCAACGGTTATCATGTTGCATGTCTGTGGTCTTCTTAGCCATGGTCACAAATGCTATGTTTTATAACTTTGGTCAGAAGCCTCGCGACACTTTTCAAATTGGACCGTTAACCATGAGTTGGACACAGGTGAAAATTGGAATCCAAAGTGCATTAATCGCACTACCTGTAAATGTATTCATTCTAACTGTTTTTCGAAATGTCAAACCTAAGACAACACTAAAGGATCACAGAGAGCTCGAGGAGGAAAATTCACCAAAAGGACTCCCACACGTTTTCATATACGTGGCATGGGTTCTTTGCAGCCTCGCCATTCCGTCTTCAGCGTTCTTCACTGTGTTGTACAGCCTGCAATGGGGAGCGAATATCTCAAATGAATGGCTCACATCAGTGCTCATTTCTTTTTTACAAGACGTGTTTATCTTGCAACCCGTTCAAATTGCAATTATTTCTTCATTACTATCCATTATAATCAGAAAACCCCTAAAACATGATCCGGTGCGTGGCTTGCCACACCGAAAAAATCCGTGCCAGGAAGACACTATGGTTCTACCGCCAGAAAAAGACGTGCTAGAAACATCTCGAAAGTTCTGGATAAAACTTCGAAAGATGTTTCGATCTGTCCGGGAAATCAGCTTCTTTTTGATTTTTGTTATATTACTGTTCGTAGTATGCTATGGAAATAGGGACGTTTCAAGATATCACCTGAGAAGGTCAGTCGGGGATATATTCAATAAATCTGGCGAGGTAAGATTTCTTTACTATCCATGTTCCAGTGGGTTTTTGTGGGAGTCACGGTTTCCTATTGTTCATTGCGTTGAACTTCTGGTCGAGAATTGTGGGTCGAAACTTGGCCCGGTTATAGTGTCGTGTTCTTGGAACTCACAATGCCTCTCTCCACCCAGGAGTATAAACAAGTACCAACGAATTATCGGGAAAGCCTGATCAAATGCTTGAGGCATCCTTGCGATAGATTAGCATATTGCACAGTCGAGAGTAGTAAGGTAGTATTGGGCGCCTCATGTGATGGAAACTGGGATAAACTCCGGCTGGATGGGCCACTTTAACCCTTTACACCCTAACATCAGTATGCAAACTCTCCTTACTGTGCTCTACACATTTCCTAAGGTGCTGACAAGGAGAATTTGTTAAAAAATCAATAGCCTCTTTAGTTGGTGATCATTTCCTTTATTCTTGTAACCTAAATGACTGATTCGCGGATGATATTGTAAGGAGAAAGTAGGTGCTAATCACTATTAGGGGTTGAAGGGTTAATACCTTCACTACCCATGACAATCAATAATCAACCTACAGTCGTTACATATCAATTTATTATTACAAGTCTCTATTCGTCAACGTTGGCAAGAAAACTGTACAGGGTAACGCCATTTTACAGGATGCATCCTTCCCATGGAGACTTCCTTAAGCTTCCCATTTTTACCAAAGCAATGGTATTTGGATAATAGAGTTTCATAAGCCCCCCCTACGTAAGTATTCATCCAGTCAGTACTCCTGGCTATTAACAACTCTTCGCTTCTCGCAGCTACCACGAAATTTGATCAAAGATGAATAGTGGGAAATTTTCAACGCTGTAGTTTATTTTGAAATTATCTGATGGTATATCCCTCTCATTCTGAATTTTTTAGGGAATAAGGAACACCACGGCATTTTGGAACTGGACTCGAGAAAAACTAGTGCCAGGCCTCTTCTTATCCAAATGGTATAATGGGAAGCAGGTTAAGTTAGGGGAGGGTTTCATCAGCAGTGGATATCCTTTTCTAGTTGGCATGCCCAGGCTCCGGCAGATTAGAGTGAAATCAGGTAAGAATTTAAGACGCTAAAGGGTTATCAGGTTCTAAGGAAGCACGTTTTATCTTTCTTAAGACGTGCTTTGTAGTTGGGAAGAATTGGAATTAATCATGAATAGGTGCAAATTTTGGACTATGCGTTGCACCCTCTCCACAACTGATTGTTGGGCGACTTTAAAAGCGCATTTCATATTAGCGATTCCAAAATCTGTAGGGTGAGCATAGTCATTTCGGAAAATAGTAATAGCTTCAACTACTCAGTGAATTTCTGTTATAAGCAGATGTTCGGACACAAAGGTTGATTGTCTTGTAATGTCGCATCAGAGGATAAGCCAGCTTTAAGGGGATTTCCGTAAAATTTTGAACTCGTTCTTTGCAGAATCATGTCTGACGGATGATTACATAAAAGTGAAGCGATGCTTGTCACATTACAGCTCTCATTCAGAAGACAAGACGACATACAATCTCCGTGACTGGACACCAATTTATAACATCAGCGAATTCGAGGCTTCGTTTGATGAGCTATGTCCTAAGCCCTGGAGGTATAGGACAGCAAATGCCTTGGAGGCACTCCCCTTTAACGGGTTCTACGCCAGTTACGATGGTGGAGGCTATGTCGCTGATCTTGGCTATAATGCTGAATCAGCTTTAAGAGTAATCGATGACCTAGAAAACAACGATTGGATTGATCTTAGAACAATCGCAGTGTTTGTTGAATTCACAGTTTATGAGCCCTCAAGCACACTTTTCAGCGCAGCCAAGTACTTGCTTGAGAGGTACCCAACAGGAAGCTCCATTATGAATACCAGAATTGATACCTTAAAGATTTTTTACCCTGCGGATCCTGGATTTCGTTCGATTTATTTAGCTTGTTACTTCCTACTTATTGTTTTCCTTCTTGGATTACTTTTGATGGAGATTTTAAAACTATTTAATCAAGGATGGAGGTACGTAACACATTTTTGGAACTTGATAGATGCTTTGCAAGTTATCGCTGCTGCAGCTGCAATGGCATCCTTTTTCTTCAAGGCCAAATATACGAGTAATTTTTTAAAGCGTGTTAAGAAGAACCCGTTCGCCACATCAAGTTCGGACTACATTGTATTGTGGTGTGATGTAGAAACGTGGCTGCTGTCTCTTGTCGTCTTCATTGTTACCGTCAAATTTTTGAGGTTGCTAAAATTCAACAATCATATCTGTCACTTCACGTATACCGTGAAATCAGCATTGAAACATCTATTTTCGTACTCAATGGTGTTCACGGCTACAATCCTTGCATACACACAGTTAGGTACTCTTCTATTCGGAAGCAATGTGTCTACCTACTCAAACCTGGCAAGATCCCTCATGATGCTCTTAGAAAGGCTGCTGGGTGATAACATGTACACAAATGAGCTCAAGGCAGCCAACCAGATTATGGCCCAGTTGTTTACCGTTGCATATTCGTTATCTATTGCAATGATATTAATGAACATGTTTTTGAGTATCCTTCACAGTTCCTACCGGGAGATAAGGCTTCTTAAACAAGGGCGTTTTCCTGACGTAGAATTAGCTCGGTTTGCTGCGCACTATTTCATGGAGAAAGTCAAGATTCTTTGGCATGACACCAAACACTCAATAAAAGAAACTAAGCTCAGAAAACTGCGATTTAATAGAAGGAAAGCAGATGTCTTTGGCTTTTTGAAAAGGGACTCCAAAATTAACCGAGAAGCTGAGGAGTACATTTGCTTGTCATCCGAAAATGTAAGATTCGAAGAGGTGGTTTTGGAGGAAATGATAGATATTGATTCAGTGGATGAGTACAATTCGCTAAAAGACATGAGGAAAACTATACTTCAAATAGGAGGAAATTTCTTTCTGACACAAAATGAATGGAGTTCTAGTAGCATAAATGAAGAAGACGACGACAGAGAAGATGCAAGCTCATCGAAAGGCGACTGGAGTGACGGTATGGAAAGCAGTTTTTCGAACACGTCGGACATGGATCTTGTTTAATAAATGGAGCATGTTTTCAATAGGATGTCGGATACAATCCGAAATTGTGGCGTTTTGATTTACCTCGATCTTCATTGGTTGAGAAAACTAGCGTCTCCTCCTCAACCAATCAGATGCAAGACTGAGAATAATCCTGACTGTGATACTTGCGTTTTCCCGCGCTTGAGACAAAGTTAATTTATGTACTTAGACCTCTCATTTTAATTTGCTTTCATTCTGTTTGGGTGTTTTAATTTGCGTGGGCTTTGTTTAACTACTCATTGTTAAAGAAAAATTATGTAAAAGCTGGACACAATATATTCTGTAAAAGGGCTTCTATTTGATAACAAAAAGTATTCGAGATTCTCATCCAATGGTTTAGAAGCGAGTTTTTTTTTAATACTACAACTTAATTGTTGGGACTATTTAAAATTACTTTTACTACGGGATGATAAAATCATGCAATCAATCTCTATTAACAAGATACTCCTAAGAACAAACCTCGACACTTTCGCTTAAAACAAGAGTCCTACTAAAATAAGAAAAAAAAAAAAGAAGAGAATATTTTACAAAACAGTTTCATAATGACTTAGATATGCCGGATAAAGAAAAAAAGGGATAGATGCTTTAGAAAAGATCTAATTTTATATGACTAAAGTTTTTTTTACATATGTCCATAGCGAGCAAGGTTTTTCATTGTTAAATGAAATCGTCATTCAACCTATTTGAAAATATCATATTTAAAAAATTGCAGTGATTAAAATTGGACCTTGTAACCCTTTGTATGCAGACGTGCAATCTCCCTGGTCCTTTGCTATAGATCTAAGAAATTATGTGCATAGAGCAGTAAAGATCCTATGTGAACAGGACGTTGAAAACATTTTTGACGTTTAATTTCTCAACTCGCGATCAATGGATGGTTTTGCCGACTGATCCATGGTCTTCAAAATTTAGCGAATGTCCTCTAAGGTCATATATTTTTATAGCAAGTAAGATCAAAGATAATTCCAGTGAGTTAGAAGATCTGGCAACTCAGGAATAAATGCACGTTCAGAAGTTTTTCTCTCCGTTTGAGTCACGAGCGGAAGGTCCAAAATGATTGTTAACCGGCTGTCAGTGGTACCCTCGAGCATTTTAACGTGGAAAGTTTGCAGAAAGTCGGTGACTAAATGCTGAATCTGTGTAATTCATACAGAAGGATTTAACTCCCTAAAATGTTACAGTGAGTGCCATATCTTCATTGTTATTAAGTCTGTTGTATAACCCGCTTCCATTTATAAAACATTTTCTAGGCTATTATTTCGCGCCCTTTTTAAATTCGAACCCTGAGTAAATTCGGCTTCTCCAAATTCAATTTGTTTACTTTCGTTTTCATTTCGCCGCATTACTCTGTCGGTTTCGCTCCCGCGCTGTTGCATCGGTAAGTTTCATTTGCCGTCTTCATTGTTTGTCTTTGCTCTGTGTATTTCCACTTTTCGCGTTCATGTTTTTTTTTTTTTTAATTTTTTTTATACATATATCAGGCATTTACCTCTTTCGCCACACATAATGTTTTTCACTAGCAGTCTTTCTGCTTTCGGCTACCACTCATATGTAGCTCTCCCTCTCCTCTTCACTGTAAGTCTTGGATTGGCGCCTGAGGGTTCGGTGGAGACGTTTACCTTGGCTCCTGAGCATGCCACGGACATAACTCCAAGCACTACTGTTCGAAGAGTCCTTACATGCTTGAATCAAAGACAGCATAGATGCTGACTCATTCAGTTCCTCATAGCTAACGTCATATGATAGAGAAGAGGAAGAGGCAGAATAACAGTCTTCATCTTTTCGGACTGCCGCCATGAAATCGGACCGTACGGTTTTCATGATTCTTGTGATATCAGACAGAAGCAGTTCCTCTTCGGTTGATGGAGTATCGCAATAAACGTCACCAATTGCGTCAATTAAATAATTGTATTCATCATCAACAATAGGGTCCTTCACCTCTGTCACGTTGCTTTCTGTTTTAAATTCAGTGAAACCCGATTGAGAAAGGATCTGATGGCCTGCCAATTTGTCAGTCTCCTCGGTAAGACTTTCGTAGCTCAAAAGACTTTCACTTTCGGCGAGCTTTGCTCTGTTTTTGTATTGATCATTTTCAATGTCGTCCAGACATCTAAATCCTGTGAGCTGCACTGGAGATTCACTGCGAAGATTTCCCTCAAAGTTCAAAAGCCTGTTAGTTTCTGCAGGAGTTTCCTTCCTTAATAAAGGTTGATTTGACTTTCTTCGGATAGTCTTTCGAAACGGAGATTCTCTGAATACTCCTCCGGCAGTTTCGACATTACCAGTTTTCTTGAACCAGTCTTTTACGCATTTTTTCATAACCACAATCGCTCCTTCCCCTGGGTACTCTCTGTCATTGGCCTGATGAAACGCATCATCCAATATTGCAATAAAGGTGTTAACGAAAACAATTGTTAAACTTAGCATACAAGCAAACAAGTAAATGGGGGCAAACCATTCGCTTGAATCACCATTCATCTTATTAACTTGTATTTTTCCTATCCCGATGGCCATTTGGAGTACTGTACGCAGCGCAAAATAGAGTGTCGCGTATTCTTCATCCCTAGCTCCAAACAGAAGTGATCCAAACTGTGCGAAGGCGAGAGCAAGCATCAAGATAATTACGCTGAAGGACAGAATATACCGGCAGGCGCTTTGGAGGGTCCATTTCATGACATGGACGTGCCGATTAAGCTGTATGAGTCTTAGAGACTGGATGGTTGTCGTCACAACAGCAATAGACAAAATAATTTCTTCAAACCTTGACCATATGATGAGCTCGAAAGGGCTCCAATCCCCAAAGGGATTGCCACGTATTTGTTGAAGGAAAGCTTTTAAGGTGTTCTCTTTCAGAAAAACAGTCAAACCCGCGCAACAAGATGAAAGAATCTGCAAGATGGAAATCCAGTTGAAGAAGCCTTTAAAGTACCCTCGCCCTTGCTTTGTTGCCTTGATGATTTCGAGAAAAAATAAAGCTAGGATTAAAATAAGCCATAAAAGAATGCTCACGCGATAGAATGGGCGCAGAGAGGAGCCAGTGGAAGGGAAAATATATTGAGGAATTATGTCAATTCTTGTACTTCTTCTACTGTTTGCGAACTTCTCGAAGAGGAGCATAACTTCGGTGAGTAAAAGATTTGCGGGTTCAAATACTATGAACTCGACAATAACCGCAGCTGACCTGTCATCTATCCAATTATTCTCTTCCATGCTCTCTTTGACCATAAGTGCTGTAGTTGCATCGTATCCAAGCTTTGCTATGTAACCCCCGCCACCGTAAGGTAGGAAAACGTCTCCAAGTCCCATGGGCTCTTTATATCTCCACGGTTCTGGGCATAATTTGTTAAGTTGCTGTGAATTTATAGAAATGTTTGAAATTGGCCATGTCTTCCATCCGGGTCTATAATACGGCGTGGTGTCTTTGTTTGAATTGGAAAAATCTGAGGTGCAGTGCTTATCGAAGTACTTGCGTAAAACTGGTCGAACATGAAACACACTGCATGTGGGTTCTATGGATGATGAAAGAAAAAACTGTATATGATCAAAATAATTACGTGCATCGAGTTACCTTAATTGTCTGAGCAGTTAAGCGCAAAAAAAATGTTTTATCTAGTTATCATTTACTTCCTGATGAATAGTATGAAGGAATTGTTGGCTGAAGGGGCTTATCGTTGTTTTGATAAAACATTCACTCCGAAACACTATAAAAAAAAATGAAAACAAAACAAAGGAGAAAATAGCCTAAAAATATCGAAAAGCAGCATTGAAGCTGCCGCCTTTGGTTCTGATTATAGTTTAAAGAATTCCCCCTCTCTTGATGTTTCAGTTCAGATGCAAATCCGAGTAACCTGGATTAAGACGCAGTTAGCCTTCGTAATACTGCTGGGCTAGAAGTACTGAGACTTATTCTAGGAGAATGAACCGGTTCTACTTTACTTGATTCTAATAAGATGGTATCTCAAAAGTGGCAAGAACGAAGCCTGACCTGACTTAATACGTATCTGTCGTATCTTTGGGAGGCCCACAATAAAGCCAATCTTGCCACTTATCATCCCGGTCTCACTACCATTGAGAGTCTTTTCACTGTCGTAAAGGCCAGGAACTAGTTCTTCTTCAAACCAGTTCCAAAAAGATTTTGCATCCTGAACCTAGATAAGATAAAACGATCGGCTCTCATTGTCAAAGAATAATTAATACGAGGAAAAAAAATTGAGGTGAAGAGATAGATGTGCCTAGATTCCAAATCTTAGAAGGGAGCTAACCGACGCATACTACAAGAGCTTTTAGCATGAAGCGATGCAATGAGGTATTCTCTGGTATAGACCCGGGTCAAGGGGAAATGCAGCTGCGAGAATAATTGTTCTTGCCTAAGAAAAAACAAACTAGCCAAACTAGGGTGTAAGCTTCGTCCTTTTGTTTCACGGTTAAATGGGCCACTAGTAAGGCCACGTCTCTCCCTCGATTGGACAAGGAGGTCCTAACAAAGAAAGACATGCACCTCTTGAGATAAATTGCTGCATGGTCGTTTTGAACATTTTGGGATAGAAAAGCAGTGAATAACCCTACTGAATTTGGGTATGTGGTGTGGTGTAAAACAGAAGCGGCATGAATGCAAGCCAGTCGTGCAACAATATTACCTGGTAGAATGCACTGAACGTGTTCTTTAACGTTTTTGTCTGTAAGTAACTTGACGGCTTACGGTCTGCATAGCACACAATCATTAGCAGGACGACGTAGACAACGTAGATCACCAGGTCTTTAAAGAAGCGCCGTAGCTTTTTCAGTTGAAGTTTTAAGCTTCGAGCTCTTTGTAGTTCTTCCTCTGGCGGCTTGTGACTTGCTACAAGTTCATCTTCTTGAACAACGTGCACTAGGTTTGCTTGTTGGGTCTTCTTTTCTATTTCGTTATCCTCAGTTGGTTTCCTGTTTACTAAAGCCATGATAGATGTGTTTACTATGATGATAATTGGTCCATTCAGTAATATATCCTGGAGTATTGATACTCCAACGGAAAGCAGCCAGCGATTTGCTTTTTCCGCTCCCCATTGCACGCTGTAGAGTATCGCAAAGGTTCCTGACGTAACTGAAGTTGTCAAGCAAATCACCCACCCAACAACGATGAAGTACGGCGGAAAAAAACCTGGTGTCTGTATAGAAGAGGTACCCTCCTTTTCAGATTCGTTTGGGAAGTCTATCGACACATTTCTCCTTGTGTTTCTGAATATCATCACTGTGAGGATGTTAACAGGCAGGGCAATGAGACCGCTCTGCACACCGATGATAATTTGCGTCAAGCTTAGCTCAAGTGGCCCAAGTTGGAAGGAATTTGGATCTTTTTCGTTTTTATTGTCCCTGTAGAACATTGCAGTTGTTACTAATGACACTAGAATAATTGACAGCATACATGTCAGCCTTTGGCAACGTGTGAAGGGGTTCTGCGGAGGCCTGACAAAGAGCGAAAGAAATAAATGCTTGTCTGCAAGGCTTGTTATAGCCCGCCACTGAAACAGTCTTTTAAATTTCGTTAATTCTTTTCGCGAAGCAGCTGATACCTCGACGTCTATTGCACCGTCAGGGCTCTCTACAGCAAGCCACCTATTTGCAATGAAATGCCACGTCTCCTTGGTGGAAAGGTCTTTTACACCGACCTGATACAAAAACCATGAAGGACTTTTGCCAGCATTGTTGTGCCAAATTTTTATCTTGTACACCTGCCCTAAATGACATGGAAGGTTAAAGGTAAACGTATTCACGCTACCACGTGTGAAAAGTTTGCTTTCTCTCCAAGGATCCATAAAGTATATTATGTCACTGTTTCCGTCCTCGCCGAAAAGTATCATACCGACTCTTGCAGTTGTGCCATTGTCGTACCACATTCCAGTCTGGATGAAGACCTGGTAGCTGTAACTAGAGGAGTCTCCGGGGCTATGCGACGTCGCCTCAGTGTTTACAACCTGTGAGAGGAAGAGACGCCTATGAGATTCACTGACGTTTTCGGCATGGGAAAATACTTAAATTATGAATTTAAGCGTGTGTTCAAAGTCCTGTGTCGAAAAAAATAAGGAAAAGGTTTAATTTCAAAGCTAATATTACAACAGAAAATTAAAATTTTTACAATTCGTTAGCCTAAAAACCCTGTCAATCTCAACGACTTATTGGACTATTATATTACTGTATGGACTTGTATCAAAATCTATAAATCCGTGCTGTATCAAATCTTCGTTCTCAGAGTGAAGAAATATCATTTAAACGTTCTCACAACTGAGACATCAAACTTTCTCAGGCAAATTTGGTTCGATTTGTGTTTATCCTTGGGTTAACAAACTTGATAGTACTGATGCGTCAAGAAAATGATTCAAGTGAGGGAAATATATGATTGATTAGAAACGTGCACCTCGCTACATGTGAAAAAGCTTACCTTTCTTTTGTCTCTATTGTCAGCCCTTCTGGCAAACATCAGCCCCACAGCATAACACACAAAGATGAGGCAAACTGTAGACAACACCACTGCGTTTTCTGGTGGCAGATCCTCAAAGTCTGGACTAATCTTTTTAAAATCAATTTTGTTTGGAGCTACATACAGATAGCCAGAGAACATCGTTAGATGATTGGTTAGGCATGCAACTCTATGTTCGTTGCTTTCAGGATCGACCTAAAAATATAAAACAAAGTTATTTAAAGATTGCCAGCTATTTCATGTTCGGTGCTTGTTTGCTGCCTTTAATTTGGGAGTAAAGAGAGAAAATATCTGGTTTTCTTAGATTAAAATACTCAGACATAATCACACCGGCACTTTAAGTTCTCTCGTCAAGTGCAACTGGCTAGTACCTAGAAAAAGACCTGTGTCTAGTTTTTTTCGCTAAATCTTGTTTCAATGGATATTCAATGAATGGCTGGATATTGGCCGAGTTCTTTTCCGTGTACTACTCATTACTTACCCTCACTCCATAGACAGACCATTGTTTCATAAGTTCATCCCAGAAGACGCAGCTTGCCACTCTAACAGTTAGGTTGTATCTGAAATCCTCTGCAGGGTCGAATTCTCGAGGTACACTGCTTTTTGCAGTCGGTGGTGGCTTAACATTTACACAAGACATCTGATCCAAGGACTTGGCATCTTTACCATGATCCCCTTTTTTTCCCACTGATGTATTTAAAGCATCTGGTGATTGTTCTAGAATCTTAATGCCGATGAAATGAGTTCCATTTTGTCCTGTGACGTTTGGTGAAATATCAAATTCGTATGGGTCACGAAGGGTGCAGCTATCTTTCTCCTCACTTATAAAACTCAAACAAGTATGGTTGGCCCTCGGCAAGGTAACAGTTATGTCGTAGTTTTCAGGTGTTGGTCGTGTGCCGTGCTTGACATAAACAATCAATGTAATGTTCTTTTCCGGTCGTATACTCACAATAACTGCGGCTTCATGAGAGGGTATATCAAACTCGTGATAACGCATTGTTTTCTTTGTAAGAAATAGACTCTCAGCTGGTTCTTCCGTTTCCATCGAAGTCACTGGCTCTCTGGGAAACACAATCCTGATTGGATGGCTAAGATTGTAAATCCTCATCTTGGTCTCATTTTTATACCAAAACGTAATATCAATGTATGATACGTTCACTGGAACGACTTCTGGATTCCCCATATAGGGATTTTTATCAAACCTGATGAACTAAATGGAGGACAGGAAGTGAGTAATGGTTATACCTAAAACAAGCATGTAATTTTTTTTTCTCGAGGCCTCTTGTTTTTATTCTGCTAGGCTGTCAATGTATGTATAACTAAATGAAAGCATAACCCCCTCACTTTTAACCCTATCAAAACAGCTGACTCTAAACCTTGTGATAGATTTATAATGGTAATTGAACTAAGTGGAATGCAATTTGGGCTGAAATCATACGTGTGATTTGAAATCATACGTGTGATTTGAAATCACAAGTATGATTTCAGACCAAAATTGCACAGCACAAGGTCCAATTACCACTTTAATACATCCATTTTGAAATCGCCCAAATACAGGACTTGGTCAGTTCAAATATTTTATTGATGCAGCACTGAGCTAGTTTGAAATTAAATCCATCCATTTTTTAGGGGGAGTTTTGGAAACAGAGGTTGCAAAATTTTCCACATGATACCCTCTGTCTTTCATTTTCCTGCAATTAGATTGGTTACTTTATACAAGCCTTGAAATCTGATCGGTTGTTTTGTTTTCAGTGTAGCCTCCTCATTGGCTAAGAAAATGATGTGATTTAAAGCAAAAAAAGGTGCGATTCGTGAATAAATCGCACCAATTAGAGCCAATCAGATTACAGAGACCATCAGTGATTTCAAAATGGGTGTAATAAAGTTTTATACCACTCCTTTATGATTCATTATCAAGGGTTAAATTTCTCGAATTACACCGTCGTTAGGAAAAGTTCAGTCGACGCGATTTTTAATGCACGTAACTCAAGCGAAAAAAGTATTTCAATTTGTTACGCTGTCATTTTAAATCCAAGGCTGTCGGTAAGCGCAACTTAAATAGAACGCGTTTCGTCTGCGTTACTTAGAAACAGATTGTAAAACAAAGTAGAGTGACTCTCTACCAATTTAATACTTAGTAATATAAGCAATTTCCAACCTGTACTGTACCACTCCGTTGTAGTAGTTCCGCTGGCAAGTGAACTTCATTTCTTTCTAGGTACAAGACCCTTCTGCTCTTCTTTAGTTTTGCTCGTAGAATGGAAATGCCCTTGGAGCGAAGTTTGACTTGATCTGTATCAGTTGCAGAATTTCCTCTTATGACTGCTATTTGCTGTAAAAGCGTTATTGCTTTTTCGGTAATCTCCTTTGAAGACAAAGCAATTACAGAAGGTAAGTTATATGTTGTAGATAGTAAGACCAACAATGTGGTAAGCACTAGGTTTTAGGGAGTGTTTAAAATGTTAACTTAAAAGTAAAAAAGAAAATCAATTAAGATGTATTTTCCTCAAGATTACAAAGAAATCCATTGAACACGATTTTCTTATTTATTTTCATGGGTCTATTTTCCTCGTATGGTTTGAAAGCCCTTCCTTGAACTTGGCTTTACCTCTCAGCACTTGTATTTGTTGTTGAGGCAAGTGGTATCCTTTTAAAAAATTGATGTAATAATGTAAGGAGAAAGAGGTTATCTTTAGCTGTGCTCTGCACCCAAATTAACTGATTACATAGCCAGTTAATCGTGCATGTAAATGTAATTATCCGCCGTCAGGAATCCAAAGAAGTCAAATTACCGTTCCTGAGTCTTCAGTTCTGTTTTCAAGTGGTGGTTTTTCTGACGCTGCTGTAAGAATGAATGTAGCTCCCTCCACAATGACATCCGTAATACGACTCAAGTTTTTGTCCATCTGGCTCTTCAAGAAATGTATGGCCTTTGTAAGAATTTGGATAGAACTGTTCTGCAAAAAAAAAAAAGAAAAAAACGAAAAAAAAAAGGATATTCAAATTACTACAGACAATTAAGTTTTATTGCAAATATACTTTACTGATACACAGTGTAATTTTCTTAAAATTATGTGTAGGAAATATTGTTACAAGACTGTGAAGGCTTGTAACGGCTTTAAGAAGGAAGAAGCTTATATCCTTAGTGATTTATTTTAGAGAAGTACCTGAATCTGCGGCGTAGCGTCTTTTTTCATTTTGTTGCAAAACGCTACAAAGGCTGCCACTCGCTTGAGTTGCTGAAGACTTATTATCTTCATGTCGGTTATGATTTGTATAAGCTCCTTTTTAACCTTTGAAAGAAGAACCAAGACAAGGTATGCTTTACAGTTGTTAGTTTAAAAATATGTAGAGCACACAAACCTCAAGTACTATAATTTTCTTAAGGCAAACTACATATGAATGAAAACTTTTATTCCATGCATTGTTTGTAAAACAAAATCAATTAGAAATCCTTTTGGCCAGGGGTAACTAAAATTGGAAATTCTTCAGCTGTTCCAAGGCCAATTAGTGCAAAGCCAGGGATACATTTTAATTAGGGTTAGGCCTTTTTGGAATAATTTTCCCCATTCACTTTAGAGCATCCAACCATCGAATTGTAGAAAAAGGAATTATACAAAATTTAGCTTTACATTAAAGCTTTCAGATCTGAAATCAGATTTCACACTAGCCGTGGGTTATCTTGGCCCAGCTTTGTACAAGACGTTGTTTGCATACACCTTTATCATGCAGCTCCATCTTGGATTGCGTGGTGCATCAAATCGAGGCTGAACGGGCATAAGGTATAGGTTTTGTGTTACATCACAGTATTTTGAGTGAAGATTACAAGCAAGCATGGCTCACGATCATTGTTGCGTTAATTTCTGTTCTAACGACAAGCGATATAAAAGTGGTGAGAATTTATCTTTCTTCAACTTTCCTTCGAATGCTCGCCGCTACTAGGCGAGATGAAGGGCCGGATTTCGGGGTAAGAGTCGCATCGTGACCGATAAGCTGTTAGAGGCACGTGTTATTAGCGATCCACTTTTCCTTTCGATTGAAGACTTAGCCAGCAGCTTTTTATGACTATTGAACCGTACTGAATTGACAAAGAATTGAGGTCGCTTCTCTCCTATTTGCTGGTCCGCAATTTTTTTTTACCCTTGCAATTTTTTTTGTTGGTACTCTTTGCCCTCCTTGGTCCATGCAAACTGCGCTGTTTTCGACGTGTAAGCCCAGTCATAGTTTTATACATATCCTCTGGCTTGAAGTGAGCCGAGCACACCAGAGTAGAGCCTTTCTTTATCTGGCAAATTCGTTTTAAACCGCAAATTATAACGCGAATAAACGAGGGAGAATCTCATTATTACATATTACCAAATCCGAGTTAATAAAAACAAACAAAACATAACCATGTGCGTTTGACAGCATGAGCCAAAAGTAAAATAAAAAACATGCTGTAAAAAGAATATTAGATTCATCAATTGAATCTAGTGTTATGGATATAAAATGAATTAATATTTCATAGATTAAAAACTGCTGGCTAAGTCTTCAATCGTAAGGAAAAGTTCAATCGCTAATAACAGCTCACTGGTCACGACGCGACTTCTTATGCCCGTCCAGCCTCGGTTTGGTACGCCACGCAATCTAAGATGGCGCTGCGTGATGAAGGTGTATTGGGTGAGCATATAAATGTCACGTACCTTTCTCCTTATACTGATACTTGTATCCTTTAATGATAGTTGAAGGATCCATATTTTGTAAGCAGCTTCTTCGTATTTCCTGGCCGAGATGAGATCTTTAATCTTTCTTACAGCATGAAGAATTTCGTGAGGTTCGGGCTTATTTACCTGATCGATGTTGTAAATATTGAGTTGTGTATTAGAATATGATTATCAATCAAAGGTAGCATCATTTTAATAGCAAAAAGTGGAAATAAAAATTGCTGTTACCGTCGGAACCTACTCCAATGTCTATGGCATGGAGTTGCAATGACTATTTTTTTTTATTGTTGCTAATCATCCTCCTCGAAAGGAAGCCAATAGGTTAATCAACATTCTCAACCTACTACATTTATACAGAGCCAAATGATTCAGTTTTAAGTTACCTTAACTTGAACATTGTCCAAGAGTGAAGGCAATGAAGGAAACGTAGCCTCCACCCGTAAGTGAAGATAATAATTTTCCTCTGGATTTCCAGCTGGTAGTGTTATTGATCCTATAGGCGATCTCCAGGTGGCCAGAATAAATTCCTTGTTGCTTGATTCTAGTTTGACGGTGTAGTTGCTGGCTCTGATCCGCTCATATGAACCGTTGCAGCTAATTTCAAACTCATCTAAAGCGGCCTTTCCTTGGTTTGGTTTCACGCTACATTTCAATGGCATCATCTTTACGAGTTTAATGAAACCAAAATCGTACTTTAGACGATATACACCTCTTTTGTCAGCATTCCTAACGATGCATCGAATGAAAGTTAGCCATTTGCCCTCCGGCTGGATGTAATTTGTCCTTAAAACAATCTCGTTGATTCCATATTGTGGTTTCCCCCGCGTGTAGATCATACTAAACAGTCCTGTTTTCACATCAACGGCTGCAATCTCCCAAGTATACCTGATCCTCTGGGTAGAAGGGCATGCTGGGTTTAGCTTTGCTTTCACAGTCAACATGTCCATGTTATTTGTAGTGTCGACCGGAACAAGCTGCGGGTGACTTGGGTCTGTTCTTATGGAGATGTTGAAGCTCGGTGGTTGACACTCGTCAGTACCTAGAAAAGAAGTGAAATAAAAACTGCAATTACGAATTCCACACGACCACAAAGTTTAAGTTATCACGGTAGGTTGCTTCTATACTTGCCCTGCACATGTAAGATAATTAGCTTGAACATAGATTTTCATTTGAATGTCGAAAGAATGTAGTATACAAAGAATGTATATTATACATACTAATCATAATAGTGGTAATTATGATAACTACGACTTTAGTTCAGTGTCTACAGGATCTAGTTCCAGCAGAAGACAAGCACTAATTGGGAACACTCTTATTACAATTAAAATGATCCTACTGACCTTAAAATGCAACTAAATTACTAAAGAAAAGTAAATCTATGCGCAATAAAAGGAAAATGCATTCCCTAAAATTCCAAAATAAGAAATAATATATCTACAATTAATTGAGAGAAAAGCAAATCCCCAGGAGTCACACATTTGTTAGTGGCACTATGATGTAAAAGTCTCTAAGTCTCTAATGTCTCTAATTATTTTCTAAGGTCTAAGGTATCTGATTGTTTAACCCTGGTCTTCAGTTCAGCCCACATGTTTGCGTTACTTCGCTGCTTATCTGGTCAAAAACGTTGGTGTCACGCACTCTGTTGTCACGCACTCTGGTGTCACGCACTCGACAAATATTTCAAAGGCAAAATCAATTATGAATGAGCACGTGTGTTAATTTTGAAATCTTGTCGGCTTCTCTTGCCATTTCTTTGGTTCGGTTGGCCGCTGCCTATTCCCATGAGACTCTCTAGCAACACCTGAACGAAAAGTGTTGGGATTTGATGCTTGAACCAGGGACTGACACTTACTTGGATAAAGTAGAATGTTTTGGTCAAAAATAGAGTCAGCGCTTTGATTGGCTAAAGCCCTCTTTATTTCATTCTTAATCACTGTAGTGGCCGATTCTATGCAGTAGATTTCGATCTCAGCGACGATGCTTTCTTGTGTAACTTGTAAGTCATTGATGAAGAGAGGTGGACTAAAGGAAGAAAAGACATGCAGTTAAAGAGGCAACACAAACACAAGAATGCAAAAACAAACGAACATAAATAACAAGCAGAAAAACAATAATAAAGAAAAAATCAAAGGACAAAAATTAACAGCACAATATGTTGCCAAACCTGAACTTGTGAAGTTTTGTTTCCAAGAATCCTGGTATATTCTGAAGGTAACTTTTAACCTTTAAAAGAAGTTGTAAAAAACCAAAACAAAACAAAAATACGATATTTGACTTCAAATAGCTGACTCACAACGTTATAAACAAAACAAAAATCGAAAAAAATATATAGAGAATATATAAAGATTTCTCTTCTTGCCTTAGATAGCACACGTTCCTCTTTTTCTCTTGTTTCCTCGTTTGTACGATTCAGGAAGGAGAGCTTAAAGCTTGTGTCAAGTACTTTTAGCCAGACTTTAAAGTGATACCCTTTTTAAAATGCAAAAAGAGTTTGATGACTTCGTCTTGTAATAAAAACGGACACATTCAAAACGTCAATTAAATGATATAAGGACTATGTAACTTAGCACAAAGAGAGTGCCAAAGGGTGTCCCTAATGCCATGGGTAACAGGGTGGCCTTTGAAAAAATGTAGTGTGTGGAGTGTTAGAAAAATTCGCACAATTTTCGCTTTATTATTTTCTAACTACATATGTTTGGAGAAAAATCTTCGGAATAGCATGAAAAGCGTATTCTTGCTAATGCTCACCTGCGGGAAGACGAAAATGGGTCATGCATAAGTTGTCGTTCTCACCTGGATCACACCCGTAGAGCTCAAGACGTAAAGCAATATTCTTATGCAATTCAAAGGGGTAGATATGAACTTGAGACGTCTTTACTGGGAAGCTAACTACGTTAAGCCTGACAGTGTCGCCGTCCATATTGCCTTGAAAAATCTAAAATTAATTTTTTTGAAATATATATAAAAAAACGGAAAATTTCAGCGATTCAAAACTGATCATATAGATTTAAGATATATAACATAATAACAAATTTTCACTCATTTGTGGAGGGGATCTTACACCAATATGAAAGCAAGGGAGAAAGGGGTGTGGAAGAAACTCCTCTGGATAACGTGGCACCATAACTTAAAATACACCTTAGCTGCACTAACTGAAATATCACGACGTGGTCAACTCGATTTTCGTTGAAAGTGAATAGATGTACCTCAGAGCTTCTTACCTCTGTTATAGTTGAAGGACCCCCATCTCCAGGATAAAATACCAATCGATATTTTGTCACCCATTCGTCCCTAAAACCTTGAGTCGCAACTGCAGTTACAATCTTCTCCTGTGGAAGCACAATAATAAAGGCGCCGGAGACCAAGCGTGGATCAGCGCGATAGGCGGACGACGAATGAAGTCTACCACGTTGGGGTCCAAATTGTTTAAAATCATCTTGGAAGGTGCTTAATGCCATTAGTTTGTTGTCTGGGATTTGTTTGCGATTTTGAACTCCAAGAGGACTGCTACAGTCATCTGCGTAAGACGATGACATAGTGTGCAAGTCATTTGTAGTCTTATTTGCGCGTGCGGAGCCATCTCGTAAAAATTAACAATCGCATTTTCTACCAATTTGCAGAAGGGTGGCAAAGAATTGTAAACAGGGTGCTGCGTTTTCATGAAAAGTCCACATGGATCCATTAGCGCCATCAATAATTATCATTCTTATTATCGTTATTGTTATAATTTAACAGAGACGTGAACTTTAAAATAAGCTCGCTGATCAGTTGCCACTTGAACAATATTTGAGAGAAACAAAACTATCTTCAGGCTCAAACTGATACACAGTGTAAAACATTTTGAATGCGTTGCCATCGTAAGGTGTGTCTACCTGAAATTTACTTAGCTCAGTTTTTTTCCCAGAAATTTTGGCTATTATCATATTCGTGTGTCGGCGAAGACCTGTTTTGGAATAATGCTTTTTTCTGAATTGGGCTTATTCTAAAAGTTTAAGGTTAACTGTCAAAAAAGGCGATTAGATTTCTTTGTAAAGGCCGCGCCAATTGACGTGCATTTACTTTAGATATTTGCACCACAGCATGTTTTACCAGACTAGAATGAATAACTTTCCATGAATATGTATATCCATGTCAAACGGGGAAAAATAATGATTCCTTTGGTTAGAGGGAAGTTAAGAGCGCCTAAATTAACCATTCTACTGGTTCATCCAAAAAGTCTGCTATAATAAACAATGATCCTGGATTTCTCGTTTCGTTTTTCCTTGCCTTTACAATACCTAAATTCAGGTCTGCTATGCACTATTCCATTCTCAGAATTCTATGAATCGCTGAGACCAGGAATGGAATAAGAATTCGGAGATATATATTTACCCTTCATGCATGGATTATACAGTCCTATCACTTTGATATTTTTATCTGTACTGCGGTGTTCGAAGTCATTCATAGTATGGGTATCAACAATTGTCGGATTTGTGATAAAGCATTCTATAGGCGAAAAATATAAGAACTTAACTTACCAAAGACTTCCTCGGTCTGTTGGAAAGAGGCAATTATGACCAGGAGAAAATGGAGGATCTGACTTCTTCCTTCCATTTTTCCATGTCAACTGAAACCTCACCACGGTCACAATAAAAATAGTAAAGCCTCTTGTTAATTATTAATAAAAAACAGCATGTAAACATCAATTCGATAGAACAGGTGAACAGGAATTCCATTTAAAGCATGTTTTCTAATTACTGTGAAATTTTGTCTATTTGTGCTGCTAAAACCCTTTATCCATTATTCACGAGCCAGTCAGTCATATATCTAGAGTTTAATTACCTACAATAAACGCGAATATGACCAATATTAATTAAGAGAATACGCACCAGTTTTCTTATGATGCGCAGAAAATTTTCAAGTCAGAGTTTACCCCTTTATTTTTTGGTGAAGTCTAGGAAAAGAATTACCTTCAAACAGACATTGTTTTACATTATACAGGAAGAGCGAAGAGTGTCGTTTGAGGTTTTGAGGAGAGTTTTTGACTGGTTTAAGAACCTGCACACTTCTCACAAATAGTAGGAAAGTGAGGGCATCTGAAAAAAATTCCTTCAAAAAATTGTAAACTGCTCATTGCAGCCCATAGAAAGTCCAACGCAAAGTGTTGTAGAGCTTCATGAGCTAATGGATATGGCGCTATAGAAATTCATCATTATTTTTTTTATTATTATTATTTTAAATATTTTTATTTGAATAATGATAGAAAAGGTGCTTGAAATGACCAGTAAGAGACGCCTTCATGACTCTGCGAAAAGTTTCAAACACAGCTTAGGACGAAGAGCAATAATAAGTCTAGAATATCTTCTATGGTGAAGCGTCGAAGCTAAATAAATGTTAAAAGATGCGGGCACCACATCGATTAATTAACTAAATCCTGCGGTAATTAAGCAACTATTTTTGTTTAACAACTCTTCATTGTTGATCTTAATATTGAGTTGTACCTTAATAGGTATGAAATGACACCATCGATATTTTATTCAGGTGTAGTCACGGAAGTAAAAGTGCTATAAAAGTGATGTACCGAGCATGTTTCAAGTTAAAGACTCTTGTATAAGATTATTATTAGTTACTAGAACATATTTCTTGTCACCTTTCCAGTATTGACAACTCACGACAAGAAATGGGCTTCATCATGGCTGCTACTAAATGAGCGTAAGGCTGGGAACATAATTTATCAGCTTCCATTTAGGTGTATCGGCTCTCTTTAATATTTCATACATAATAATTTTTTTCCTTTCGTTTCTTAAGGTATAAATTAGCCTCTGAATTATGCGGGCTTCACGGTCATGGCACTTTTCAAATTTAAAGCGCTACTGCCCTTAAAATGATCCCGCTCGGGTAGCTTTAGACTAAAAAAGGTTATAATGTGCACATGCAGGTTATTAAATTTCTTTTAAATACTCAATAAAATATGCCATCAGATATTTTTATTAAATATAAAGTTATGTATTTGTTCTGAATAAATTAGCTTCTGAATATGCAAGAGACAGTATTGCACCCTGAATAATTAAATTACCCTTCCTGCACCGTATATCGCGAAAATAATCTTGCCGAATAAGAGATATTCAGGAGGAACAATGTCGCTAATTGTAAACCTGGATTTTCATCGAGGACTTAGTGATAGAGCACTGCTCCCGTATTCTTAAATGAGGAAATAATCGTAAAGACTTCTAGGTTTACCAATAGTTTAGCCTGCCAAAATATAATGCACTGTGAAAAAAAAATCCTTTTTTCAAACATTTATGCTATTAGAAATCTTCCTCAATAGACATACATACCCAAAAAGCCAATTAGCTTTTTCTTGGGCTATAACACAATTGTTCCTAATCAGGCTTGCTTCTATTTCATTTCCCAAAAGCTACTTCCCGAAAAACGCAGCCACTCGAAATAAAAAGGACCATCAGAAAATTGTTTGAAAATACCTCAATGGAGTAGAAAACGCGCGATATGCAATGAAAAAAATTTCACACCCAACTTTTTAAGTGAAAAAACAAGCCTTTTCATTGTCAGGCAGTTGATATGGAATGACTTTTTCATGCTTTAAAAAAGTCTTAATAAATAATTCTGGCTGTGAATATATGAAAGTCATATATTTGAACTGCGGATAGAGACGTGAATATGATAGCGATCTTCGGAGTAATGAACTCTACTTAAGCAGTAATGAAAAGAAGGCCTGAAATTAATATTCAGGCCTGTACGGGATTTGAACTCATGACCTTTGCGATACCGGTGCAGTGCTCTACCAACTGAGCTAACAAGCCAACCACTGTGTGGTTTCCAAATAAACCCGTGAAGTGGTGAATAAACGGCTGTGAATATATAAAAGTCATATATTTGAACTGTGCAATTCTATTGCGTCCTTTTTGGCTCGTCATGTATGGAGGAATGTATGATGGGTCATTTATTTATGGTCGTTGAATAAAGCTTGAACAAAAATAAAGCGACAAACTGGAAAAGAAAATCCGCATCTTTTATTAGAAGAATAATTATTTTTAAATGGTTAACATCTGAGTACTATTTGATTTTATTTGAGAGGGATTCTATTTTCCCTAATATACAATATATGTTATTAGTTTGTAATAAGATATCCGTGTTTTCTTTACTAACAATGACAATATATAATTCATATTCAAATTTTCATCTTGGACGAAGGCATGTTGTGTCTGTTTCCTTGAAGGTGTGACATTGCGAAAAGAAAGCAACGATGTCAACGACGAGCTCACTTTAGTGTTCCTTTTTTTTTTTCAAACTGTGTGGCATTATCTTGTCTGTCCATGATGCTGGTTCTCAAGTGAGGAAGCAAAATGAAAAATTATCTCAAATGGTCATCAAAACACTGTTAGATAATGCTTCAAAGTTCATTTTCGGCTATAGAATCCCTAAAGAAGATAAAATCCTTCGCTTCAAGTTATAAACGAGTTTCTGATATATCACTTTCCGACAAACCATGAAATGAAAAAATATCATCAAAATTTAACGTCGAAGAAGCAGATGAAGGATATCCAACTACTTCAAGAAAACTGTCGGAATCACTTTCAAAGTCAAGTTTATACTCTGAAGAGTTTTTGCTTTCATTGGTCGTTTGGAGTGTATAGAGACTTTCCTCAAGTAGTGTCTGTTCAGATATTCGTCTTAAACGTGCTTGCACATTAGATAGCAAATCATCCACAAGTGATAACTTTGATAAGTCTTCTTCGATCTCATTTAAGCTTTCCATAGATGCTAGCCTTGGAACCAAATGGCTCGTCTTGGAGGAAGGTACTGAATGATATTCATTAACAGGCTTTTGAGGAGTGAATACTCTTCTGCATTTCACACTTTCTTTTAAGAACTCGTAAAAACTGCGACAAAAACCAATCCACGATTTTATACAAGACATCAAGTACTGAGCCAATTCAACGGAATCAATGTCATCTATATCTTTTGATTTCTCTATCCTCGACGTTGAATACGACTCGTTCAAAATTGCCACAAATGTATTGAGCACCACAGCCATTGAAGTCATCAGATACAGAAAAAGAAATAGAGGACCCAAAAAACCGTCGGCTGCGAACTTGAGTTGATAATATGAAAACCTACCGCCAATGAGCATCTGAAGCAGTGATCCAACTGCTAAGGGTAGAGAAGAGTAGTTATCAATCGAAGATCCGAAAGACAGCAGACCAAATGAGGCAAATGATACGACAACGACAAGAAATATCGCCATGAAAGAGCAAAGTGGAGTCAGTGAGCTTCTAAGAGTAAACCTCATTTGATAAATGTGATGATTAAAACGAATAAGTCGCAGAGATTTTATTGTCGCTAAAAACATCACTACTGAAAGAAGATAATCTTCAATTTCGGACCATAGTACAATATGATCTGTGCTCCAGTTGTCATACGGATTTTCGCGAACGTTGGTCACGTAATCTCGCATGAACTTCTCCTTATAAAACATTATTCCTATCCCAGCGGCCGAGACAAATAATAGCAACATATCAGCCCAGCTCCAAAATTGCCTGAAATACGAGTGACCCCCGCGAAATGCTTTTACCATCTCCATAATTGCGAAACCAACGATGATCAGCATAAGTAGTGCTTGAGATAGAAGATAAAACAACCTGAAACTGTTGGAGCTATGAGGTAAATATACAGTAATCGCTTTCACGTTACTGCTTGTAAGAACGCCTCCTGTGAGTAATCTTTCGTAAACGTATTTCGCAACTCCAAATAAGGACGTCGAAGGATCAAACACGGTGAATTCAATAAAAACAGCTGCTGTTTTGTCATCTATCCATCTGTTCTCTTCCAGGCTATTAATCACAGCAAGAGCTGATTCAGAGTTGTAACCTAGATTTGCTACGTACCCACCACCTCCGTACGTAGCCATTTTACCTTTGAATGGAACAGTACCTAGTAAATCCGCAGTTATATATTGCCACGGTTTTGGACACAACAGATTTATTTCATCGTCACTGCTTGCAAACCCAGAAAAGTTGCTGACTGGTATCCACCCAGGTTTGTAATATGGTGTAGTATCTTCTTCATGAGTGTCATACAAGGGCAAGCATCGTGGAAAAACTAGTCCTTCTACTTGGTTGTATACGTCACAATACATTTCTGTGAAGGTAAAAATGTATGGGCTGTATTTTTCTATAGTCTTTATAATTTCCTTTGCGTGGCAACTTACATAAATGAATATTCCTTTAGGCCGTTCACTGGACAGAAAGCTTGTTCTTAAAATCAGTCGTACATCTTGCTTACTTCATTTTCCTCGGATATTATTAAGACGACGAAGAAGGTTACAATGCATTTTGATGAATACTAAAAGATAAGTGCATTAGAGTGGCCTCAGTTGGAAAATAGATTGCGATATAAATAACATATCTGTAGACTGTAAAGGAAGGTACTAGACGACCATATCGTGATTTGAGACCGGCTGTTGTCTCTGCTCGTGGAGAGGTCGACTTACATAATGCGCTCTTCAAAATTTTGCTAATTTGAGCATCCTATGGGATGGGTATGTCTTGAATTGTGCTAAAAGCTAAGAAACGTATCGCATACGACCTGTAGACGTACCTGGGAGTATACGCACTTGTCTAAGTCTTGGCATTCCGACCAGAAAATTTTCTCTGTTGGCAATGAAACCCTCCTCATAGTCGAACAGTTCACCATTGTACCAACGGGTGTCAAACAGTCCGCGGACAAATGTACTCCTCACCCAGTTCCACAAAGAATACTTGTCATTAACCTACAAAAAAAGATTTTGAGTATTATTAGAAACCGTGAAAAATAAATTTCCTAAATTGCGGCTGGGTTACGAAATTAGAAGCTGCCCTAAATGGCGTTCATACACGGCATTTTGAAAGCCTAGTCAATCCCGAACAAAATTAAGCAGGAATGTTTTTATATATCTACAATAGCGTCAAAAGTTTTCCATAACCTTTAAAGAGTAGATAATGTCCAAGCAAAGCTTAGACAAAACCTAATTTACTTCCTTGTATTACAAGCTTGATAGTTTCTTTTGCGTGCACCAAACTTATGTCGACTTACCTTTGCAAAGCCTTTGAAAAGATCTTCCGCAGATTTTGTGACACTATACCTCAAGGAGTCTCTATTCCCGTAGCAAACGATCATAAAGAGTGAGATGAATACAATAAAAAAATAAATTTCCACAATGGCACGAAATGACTTCACTTCCCTGTGCCGCTTTCGGCGCGCGTCTTCAATTTCGTCCATTTTTAAAATCCTTGCTTCTTGTTTTAACTCGTCAGTGCGAACAGAATGATGTTCAGGTTGATATTGTGATTGGCACACCTCTTCATGGTTTACTGGCTTCCTTACGACCATGGAAAGTAAACAAATAATACATAACACCTTGAAAGGTTGAACGAGTAACACGTCTTGAAAAAAAGACAATGTCATCGACACAAGCCATTGGTTAGAGATCTCAGCACCCCAAGATAGACTATAGAAGACAGTAAATGCAGCGCTTGCAAACATTGCAGATATGCACAGGACCCAGCCAATGTAAATGCAGAAGTGTGGTAAGCATCCTGAAGACGTTCCTTGATCTCCACTGTACTTTGAGTTCCTAAAGATGGTTACAACCAGGAAATTGACCGGTATAGCCACAAGGCCACTTTGAATACCTATCTTTATTTCTGTCCAACTTAACTTTAGCGGTCCAAGGTGAAAGGTATCAGTGGCTTGGGCACCAAAGCGATAAAACATTGCTCCCGTTACCATGGCACAGAATATCACTGACATGCAACAGGAAAGTCTTTGACATCGCGTAAATTGATTGTGAGGTGGCTTAGTAAACAAGGAAAACCACAAATGGGAATCTCCCACGGCTTGCTGGGTACGTGAATGAAATACGTTCCTGAACTGCAATAGGTCTTCATTTGAAGCAGCTCGTAGCTCCAGCTCTATTTCCCCAAGGCCTTTCTCAACAGCAAGCCACCTATTAGCAACAAAATGCCATTTTTCTCTTGTTCTGAGATCTTCTATGGTTATTTCGAGAAGAAACCATGATGGATTTTTTCCAGAGTTGTCGTGCCATACATTTACCTTATAAAGGGAACCTAAAGACTTCGCAAGAGACAAGGTGAATGTGTTCACGCTTCCCCTTGCAAAGAATATCCTTTCTAAGTGTTGATGTGCAAAAAAAATCGGATTTGAGACGCTCTCTTCGCCAAATAATACTAGTCCCACGTTTGCTGTCGTTCCAGAGTTTCGCCAGGCGCCAGTTTGTATCGAAATGGCATACGTGTGGTTACCATCCTGTGGACTGGAGAGGTCAAACTCCGCAATCACCTTTGGTGAAAAAAGATAAAGTTACGTGAAAAAGGACATAGTGTGGACAATTTTTGCTAAATTTATATATACAGTATCAGCACATACATGGCTGAATGATCAGGCAAGATGTGCTTCCGACTGCAAAAATCTTCTTTAAACTCAAGCGCGGCTTGAGCAGTTTCGTAACACGATATAAAAAATTCTTTTAAGTCATTCGCTAACATGTATCTCCACTCCATACCTGAAAATTACAACCTCAACGCTGTAATGACTTTTTTTATATAGTCAAAGACAAGCCACGGCAAAACTTGTCTGTCTTCTGGAACAGTTAATTGTAGGGTGAAGTAATTTGCATGAACAGACATTTTAAAGATACCTTCAACTCGTCTCTTTTGTCAGCTCTTCGTGCAAATACCAAACCAACGAAATAAAACCATAACATGCTGCAAACTGTTGCCAACACAGCATAATTTCCTGTCGCTCCTAATCTGCCAAACTCTTCCCAAACTTTGTCAAAGTCAATAGGATTTGGGGCCACGAAGAACTCTCCGCCAAATGACGTCAAATGGTTGCACAGACAGTGGACTCTTCCAGGCTTTGATCCACGGCCAACCTAAGATCAAGAGTTAATTGAATGAAGTGACTTCATCGATATCGTGTCAACTCTGGCGATTTCTATTCTCAAGTAAATGAAAAAATAGCTTTGAGAAGAATCTAATGAGGAATACTGCCCAATATAAATATTTGAAAGGAATGTTGGTATTTTTACCATTATTTTCACGAATTATCATAGAGAACGAAGAGCGTTAATTTGTTCAAAGTGCCTAAAATACTAACTATGGGGTGTGTCTAGATCTTTACTATTCCGAGCCTTTTTTCTTTTCTATCTTCACTCAAAGTATTTTAATTTCTTATAACAATTAAATACCTGACATCCTTTACTCGACCATCTCTCTTCTCGCTCCGACCAAAACAAACACGCCGCTATATTTACGGAGAAAGTGTAGTTAACGTCTGTTGTCGCATTATATCGCATTGTGATAATTCTAGGAGTTGGGGGTGGTGTGGTGGGTGGATCCTTAACCTGAACGCAGGATCTCTTTGCACGCCTTCCTTTATTAATGCATGACCTCCGGAATCTGGAAGTAGGAGGAACTCTTATGATACCAACATAATAAAGACCAGGAGGATATCCAATAAGTTTGAGAGCATGAATATCATCGCTGCAGTTCGTCAACCTGAGACTGTTATTGCCGTAGCAGGAGGATACATCTGGTAAGTTATTGACAAAAGTGTAGTTGCTGACAGTAGGTTTAAATTCTCTCCCGAAGTAAATAGCTAGCTGGTGATCTCCGACGGTGGCGATCCTCAACGACACAAGGTGGTTTTCTGTAGGGATAACAAGAGCGTGGTATCGAAATTTTCCTGGTTGTAAGAACAATGGTCGTTTTTCTTTCTCGGCTTTCAAGTCTCTGTTTGTTTCCCTATAAGGTATATGCAGTACGAACGGCTGGCTGAGATTGTTTATTTGTACTTCAAAGCCCGCGCCACCTTTTAGGGTGATATCAATAACAGATGATTTGATACTCAATGCAGTCTTATCCCACGTGTAAGGATTTTCTTTAAATGTCATCATCTGAAGTGGAAAGAGCCACAAGGAAATATATAAGTGGATCGTATCAATTAACCTCGGCAAATTTTATAATATATATATAGATTGATATACTCCCTGATTGAAGTGAAGTACTGAAGTTAACATGATGAGGAAGAGGTAATTACTTCCATTTTCATTCCAATTATGCTGAAGCTGAAAGTTTGTCTATGATTCGGGCCAAACTTTTCGAAAGCGTTTACTGTGACGGATATCTCTTTGCCTCAGTGAAAGAGTATTTTTTTAAGGGTAACCCAAAGAACGATAAAATAGAGTCGACGTACCTGTATTGTGACACTCTCGTTTGCGTTGGGAAATACATCCTTCGAGTCAGGTATGACAACACTAGCTCCACTCTCGCTAATATTCTTCCCACTGAGATCTTCCGATTTTTCTCTATAGATCACTATGTCAACAAAGTTAGATTTTACCACTGTTTTATTTTGGCGGTTATCGTCAGTAACATGGAGGACTTCGCCGACTTTTCTGATTAATTCCATTGTCTTCATTGTTGTTTCCTTTCCCTACGGCACAAGCGAAGAACTTTAATTTTTTTATAAGAACTAATCATTTTCCAACTATTGTGGGCTTAGTTTAACTTATACTTTTAAGTACTCCTGACAGAGAAACCTTAGAAGGTTTCCCTGAGTACAGTTTTCATGAAATTCGAGGGGGGGGGGGGGCGATATTGCCGTATGTTACAAGACAGTTTCTAAAAATGTCGTAAAGGATAGTTGGTGATCAGTTCTCAAGGCATGCAACAGTATTCATCTTAGTAATCAAATAGCAGTATAGAGCAATTTCCCACGTTAACATTTAAAAAGCAAAACTCTAAATCAAATTCAAAAACGGTCAAGCACAATTTCACCTACATTTTCTTTTACATAATTGTCTCTTGTTTCTACTTTGGCATCTCTTGAGGAAATGTTTAAAATACTTCCAATGCTATTGAGGAGACCAGAGCTAACATTCTTTGCAAGCTGGGAATCGTGGGTACTGTTTGAAGTGAACTGTAACGCCATGAAGTCTGTGGCTTCAGTCAGGAGGGTCAACGCGTTAGCCTTGTGAAACAAAAGGGTGGTAAGTCTCTTTCAGTAGTGAAAACAGATATTGTGACTCGATGTATTGTGTTGTTGATATGGAATGCACAGTCAGCCTTGGTAGAAATGTTTGTGGTATCCTTACATCCAGAGAAATACCTAATAAAATATATCCCCTTAAAGCTATGTTGGCCATCGACAAGCTTAATTCTAGCCTATATACATATCTGGTATAAGTTGTCCTTGTTTCTCGTCACCATATACCCACCAATAGTGAGATGTCGAGTTGAACACGAGAAGAGAAATTCCATATCTACCAGAAACCATGTATTATTTTGTTTATCTTTACTGAGAAGAAAAGCCGACTTCATAAACGAATGAAAATAAATGAATCGACAATCCCCGAATAACAATCGTAGAGTGCGTTGGCGCTAACTCTTAAGATTGAAAAATGCGTTGAATCATGATTACAAAACCAACAATGGTCGTAATTCTCAATTTACAAAATTCTCATTTATTGACTTTGTCCTTACCGACAGAAGAAGCCTTTCAGGCAAACGGCCAAAATCAGCCAGTGACAAATCTTCCAGTTGCCTCAGCCGAGAGAAATGCCAGGGTCGGCCAGGGTTTTTGGGTATTCGGTATTCAGGGGCGTTTTAAATCGGGTATACGGTATATTGCAGCTTAAATATGGGTATTCAGTATATCACTTTCTTTGAATTTCAGGTATAAAGTATTCAAAGCTTCGATTATTTTTGGGTATATTTGGAGGAATTTGGGGTATTTTGGGGTATTTTGTCGATTTTTTTTCGGGTATATTGGTATTCCACTACCCCCCCTGGCCGACCCTGAAATGCTAACACCAAAGCCGCTGAATACATAACTTTCGGTTTTTCTTTTAGTATACTAGTCTTATTCTCTTTCTAGGAAAGTTTGAACATCACTGTCTGTCAGCAATACGTATTTTTTAGTGTTTTAGGCTTTGCGGTTCATTCATCAACCTGACCGAGTGGCGCCAAAGGCGAGTGACGTGTCAGCAGCTGATTGACTATATCAACAAACGTGAAAAAAAACGATATTTTTCACGTATGTTGTTACGGCTTTTCTCAGGGCCGGAAATCCCTGTATAACACCGCAGTTTATGTGATAATACTCAATTACCCTATATATATATTGTATGTAGTAACGTAAAGTAACCTTACTCGCAAAGACATGGGAACAGTTTTCCTATCCTCCGTTGCCCAGGCAACCACAGCCGTGACTTTTGTAACATGAACCACGCTATTTACTTTTAAATCTTTCATGTCGTGTAAAATGGAACTCTGTCAAAAAAACAAAAAGGGACAGATAAAAGCAACTCCTAAGTAAGAGTCCTACAAGCGTTTTTTTTTTTTATTTTTATCTTACGCAGCATATATCTTAACTGTAGGAGACACTTTTTCGTGTTAACACAATTTTTCGCGTTTACGTCTGAGTAAATTGTAACCCAAAGAGGTTAAGCAGGGTGTGTCTCTGGTTTGCACAACTACCGAGCATTCTTCCAAACGAAGGTTGTCGAATACACCCAAACCGCTACCCTCAAAAAGACTCACCTAAAGGAAAATTTCACAAGATCCTACTCGCTATTATGAAAATTTCAAATTATGTTCTCTAGCATTACTTCGTACCGATTTTTCCTCAAATGATTCATCACTAAAGTCCTTCACAGTTGACATCAACATAAATGCAAGTTCGGTTGCTCGGTCAGCATCACCAGCTTGCACCAAGTCCCGGATGACGTTAAGCTGCTTGTCAACAAGTCCATTCTTTAATTCAGACTGCTTGGGTGGACGTACCTACAGTACATATTAAAAAAACAGCAACTTAAGCTGCAAATATTATGAATTCGCCTTTGAAAAAGTGGTATCACCTTGATAAAGGTTTCGGTGAATTGAGACAGACTTCTAATTTCAGGCTACCCTTCTCCTTAAAATTAAAAACAAATTCGACTGATTTTTTTCGAAACGTTCTTTGGCTGCAAAAAAGGCCGGGTCTGAAAGGGTCAATGCAGGGTAAAGCAATCTGGCCTCTTTGAGAAAACTGGCTATTCACGTGAAAAAGAAAAAAGAGTGTTGATTGTTATGAGTACCTTAACCAGAAGACGGGTTTCAGTGAAGTCTTTAAATGAGTCGCCTACTTGGGCCTCAAGAACCAGCGAATAATCCTCCGTGGCTTTTCCCACCGGAAGTTTCGTAATTACTCTGTTCAGACGTCCAGTTTGAATAAGGACCATGCCGTATTTGTCCTGATACCTGAACTCGTAAATAAGCGGTTTATCTTCGTCATTCCAGCCCGAACATGAGATTATAAAATCTGTTAAAACTGCTTCACCCTCCATCGGTGTGACGTGACATCTGGTTTTTGGAGTTTTCCTAGGAGGTGAGTTAACTACAAAGGTAAACTTTCCTTCAAACTGCGTTTTCTCGTCCAGTTTAGCCACGGCTTTAACGACGTAGATAATTTGTTTATTTCTGTCGTCTTGTAATTTGGAAACATCTTCCATCAAAAAACGTTGGCTGTTCATTTGCGGATAAATTCGTTTATGATGGATCTCTTGAACGGAGAGGTCCTCTTGGTTAACTAAATGAACACTCCACTCGTATTTTGAGACTCTGCTGCACGAATCTCCCACGCAGTGAGCCTCTAACAGAAGATAATCTTGCGGGGTGACTTTTTGACCACAATTTGATAAGCACCTTATAAAAAACAAAGGAAAAAGCAAATTATATTAACTCTGTTGTACATAGAGTTTTACCCTTGCTCTCCTCAAGGGAAATAAAAAGGCAGCTGATTTTTTAATTTTTTTAAAATTAATTTGTCATTAAAAGGAAAAGGATGCCATTTTTTTTGTTTAGGAACACTGACCAAGTGGTCGAATGGAAAAATCTGCAGTTGCAAACTTCATAAAAAGTACTGGCATATAATGGTCAAATTCAATACAATCAGCCCAGAGTAAAGTTCGCAATGAAATTTGGACTTATCTTTGCCTTTTTCATTTCTTTTTGTCAAGGGTCATTCTTGGCATTTTTACCTTACGCTGATTGACACGACAGGCTTTACAGTAAATTCATATACAGCACTTGCATTCCTGACGTCTTTCTCGATAATGAGCTTGAAGATATACATCTTGCTTTTGATCATATCCGTTATATTCAGGGTTAATACTTCACCCGTAGAGGTGAGTCTACCAGGGCCAAATCCCAGACATCCTGAGTTACTCTTAGTTCTACCAAGTGGCCTGTCCACAACAAGCTCAACCTCATGCGAAAAGGTTTCGTTTCCGAGCCTGCAAAACCAAGCAAACCGCAGACCTCGTGTTCCAGACCTCCTGTTGCCAGTATCACGAGATTCCTTTCCACTTAATATGATTTTTGAAGATGAATCGGATATATCAGTGATACGTGCCTCGAGGGGATCTCGAACGACTCTTATGTATCCGTAGTCGTAAGCTATGGAGCCAGTATTACCGGAAATCTCCACCAAACATTGGATGTAAGCATATCCAACGCCTATCATACGTAGAGGTAAAAAGAACCACATTTTTTTCCCTAACTTGAGTAAGGGACCAAATAAGCCAGTTTCTTTGTCTATTTTTGAGACCGTCCAGGAGTAGAATTTTGATCCGCTAGATTGACACGAGTTTTCTAGCTCAACAGGAAATCTGAGCATCTGCGAACGTCTATGCACCTCAGCGGTCTTGATCGTTTTTCTAAGTTTAACCTTTGCCTTTAGCGGTGTACAGCCACATCGTTCTGCAAAAAGAACAAAACAAAACACAACAAAACGATTTAAATGATGAATTTTCCTATTTCAGTCCTTAGTTATGTCTGCCTCTAATAAGAAAGGAAAACGATACTGTCGAAATTGTATTACCCGAACCTGAGGAAAGCTTGCGGGTAAATAGCAGAAAAGAATGATCATGATCCAAGCCCTGAAAACGTATTAAGTAATTTACATCCAGTATGATATCTTTTTGTTACAAACTGTGGTCTTATACTGCTGAAACATGAAACATATGCCAAGAGTTGAAAACTGATTTATATTCTTGTGATTGACAAAAATAAGTTAATTTGTTCTTTGAACTGTTTTCATGTTAATAGGATATCTGTACGATGACGTCAATTGACATCAACAACGAAGATTTGTATCGTTTTTGTGTACAGATTAGAATTTTGTCATCTCAATAAAGTCAGAAACAGTAAAAATTCGAGGAACATTAATAAGTGTAACAAAAGGACGTCATCATGTAAATTTACATATTAAAGAAACCGCGTTGTCTTACTTGGATACTGAAACTTGATGTAGCTTGGTTCAAAAACTGTTTCGAATTCCTCCAAAGCAGTTTTAAGCTTCGCCAATAGGACTGGTTCACTTGATCGTAAACAGTGGATTTCTACCATGGCAGTAACCATTGTAGCCATAGATGTAGACGTTTGTGGGCTGCAATAAGAAATTTGACACAAACCCTTGCGCGCTTGTTTGGATTAAGGATAATAAAGGCAGTAGTAGTAGAAATATGAGAAGGAAGTTGTCCTTTGTTTTTGTTGCAAGTTAGAAAAACGAAAGAAAATTTCTGTCTCCACAAGGAATTTAACTGCAGATCTTTGGCACCTGTAATAGGACAAACTCTTCTAGCCGGTTAATTGAGCTGGATATGGTGCAAATTCTAGAACTGATCTACACTGACGTAACTGGTTACTTACGTTAATTCTATTATACGAGCGCGAAGAAATCCCCTGGATGTCCCAAGAATTCTATCGATCTGAAAGAACAAATTTTTAAATGTAAATGCCGAAAAAAAGAGGGAGCTGTCTCGAGTCCTCGAATTGACTTCAACGCATATTGGTAAATGGAAGCGAAGTTTTTTCAAAAATAATGCCTGTGACTTGGCATGGCCCTGTCATTATATTAAAAGTATTCGTCGATTTGAATCTCCTGAGACGGAATGGATATTGAGTGGAAAGCTCCCGTAAAAATCAAACTTGTTCTGAAATCTAACAAAACTGTCGGAAATAGGGCAAAAGAACAAAAAGTGTCCAAAATCAGTGAGCTGTGTCCAACATTGGACAGCAGGGTCCAGAATCGGACACTATAGTCGAAAATTGGACACTATATGCCTGTCCAAATTGGACAATTGTGTCTAACATCGAACACTTGTGTCTAAAATCGGACATTGGTGTCTGTAATAAGAAATTATTCTTTAAAACCGGATACTAGGACCTAAAACAGAGCATTAGTGTGTAACAATGGACTTCAGCATCTAATAAAATTTATTGGAGGCTTTTCATTCAAACATTCTCCGAACTGACCTCATCCAAGACTGTTGCTGTGGCTTCTTCATATTCATAATTTAAAGGATCCGTGTAAGCCAGAGTAAATAGAGTCTCCTTTAACATCAACCAAGCAACAAAGTAATGGCCTAAAAGAATCATCGACGTAGAATAAAATAAAAAAGAACGAGAACGAAAAAAACAAACTAAAGCAGTCACAAATTTAAGGAAAAGAAGAGACTATCAGATATAATAGAATTGTCATCATCCATCGATGAAAGCAATGGTAATTGTGGAGAGGAACGTGATTGGAAGTAGATTTTAACTATATAACATGTGAAGCAGGCCAATCCTTTAATATTCAGGAGTGGCCAAGACAGAATCTCTCCTTACAATATCGATACAATATCAATTAGGCAAGTGATGAGAATAAAGAAAAATATCAATTGAGGGACTTTATTTTGCTCCAGTGCCAATTTCTCCAAAGTAACGTCATAAGAATTATATAGAAGACAATGAAGATAATTACTGATGAGATCTAAATCAAAGAGGACCACTAACCTCCTTTGCAGCCATAAAGCTCCAGCCTTAGGCCAACGTTATTATTAGCAGTGAGTGGTATAATAGTAACCACCGTCGTGAGTACAGGAATGGGCAATGAGTTCAGCTTTACCGTATTACCGTCCATATTTCCAAGAAATACCTAAAAAGTAAAACAGCCTATTCGTTATGGTGAGGTAGAAATCGATTAATAAATAGTGCCTATTGCAGTTTTATTCACACGTTTGTGCTATTTCAGCAACTGTGTAATGTCAAATCATGCATCATTGATTTACACGTCAAACGTTAGTTATCAATGGTCTGCATATATATCTACCGTTTCAGTAATTTTTAACCACAAAGCTTCAATTATCTTGGAAATGGGAAAGCTGAGTTCAACGCCACCCGTGCATTGTTTAGCAAGACCGTGCGACGAATAATGTACACGCATACACGCACTTCGATTGGTTCTTATCTATGATACACGCATTTCAATTGGTTCTTATGATTCATAGGAGAATAGGCGCAAAGATAATGTCCCCATTCACAAATTGTTCTTGTTATGGGTAACATGACGTGTAGTTAAGAGTTCCAATAGTCCAGCATTAAACTCCTTTACGTCCTAAAATTATTGCTAATGCGTCGGTGAAAATCTATTATTGAAAAATGATAGAGCAGCAAGGAATCTGTTGATTAGACGCCTAACTGTAAGTAACTTCAGAGCATTTGGGAAGTCTCTTTAGACTTAATCAAATACAGGTATTACAAATTGGTCTTATAGCCTTACCAGTGCCTGGCCATCAGTGCCTTTCACAGACTTCTGATCACCTTTGGAATCTTTGTAAAGCAGTTGGAAGCTTGTAACCCATTCATTAACCTTGGGGTCTCCAAAACCCTGAGTTGCTATGGCAGTGATTACCATTTCCTCGTCGAAATTGATCACTAAAAAATTACTTACTCTAGCAACCTGTGGGTCACCTCTGTAACCAAGGGAGTTGTGCAGCCGCGCATTTTGAGAACCAAAATTAGCATAGTCGTCGTTGTAAACAAGTACTACGATAATTTGAGAGTTTTTAATTTTGTTGTCTTCCATCCCGAGGGCTTTTGTGCAGTCATCTGTTAAAAATATAGCACTAGTTATATAAAATATAGTTACAAGAGAATTTTAGACTGTTACTTCTAGTAGTTCCAAATAAATGAGGTTCGTGTTTCGTATCTCTTTTCGATACATATAGCGTGGATATTCGTAATTCTGCTCTTGTTTCTGATTTATTGAATAAAAGTTAAGCTGTTCTTATACAGCCGCAAAGTTTGTTGAATTTGTGACAAGAAAGGAATTCACAAGTTGCTTTGCAAACGTAAGTGTTACATAGATAGCCTCTTGACTCACCTGAACAATTTCGTTGCCCATAGCCATATCTTGTAAGCGCCAATAAAAGGAAAGGTAAGATGACGAGCATGTCGACGAATCACTGGGAATCCTTGCCTCTTGACCTGGAGTGATAGAAATTGATGCTTTTGTTTTCAATCGCGCATACAGCAGGAAAGTATTTTGTTTCGTGCCTCTTTATTAAAAAATCCTCTAACTTTAAAATTGTTAATATAACTGTAATTTTAAACACACTTAGGGTTCCCCTGTGTTTTGTCTATCTCGTTAAGATGGCTCATTTGCTGTACTAACCAGGATAATTAACGGAAATTGAATGCTAATCTGTAATCAGAACTAATGAAGGATCGGTCAGTTGAAAAGGAAGGCCATAAAGTGACATTAATCGCAGCGGAAATGGACTATGAAATTTTAATGTAAACTTGGTTATATCTTAATTGAACTGTAGACTAAATCGAAACTTCGTCCTTACTAATCATAAAGTAATTTCTTCACCAAAGGACCGAGTCCGCGCTGAGTTTTATGTAACCAGAAATTACCTGACAAATTCAAGGCGATATAACCTAACATCAATTTTCATAACCGCACATAGATTACAACTTTTGTGGTAAATGTTTCTTTTTCGTGTTTTCGTGTTTTCGTGTTTTCGTGTTTTCTTTCCTTGCGGCCGGCACTTTACCGCTCCCTTTGATTTTTGAAACACTTTTGAAGTCAAACGAAAAACTGAGTATTAAAATAGAATACATATAGAAGGAAATTAACACCGCAGTAATGAAACCATCAGCTTTTGCAAGGTTTATTCCTGGCGTGCTGTCATGATTTTTATGACTTCATACGGCTTCCTGTTTTCCAAGGAAAAGTTGAAAGGGGTTGATGAAGGGCTTATGAAGCCATTTATGTAAAAATTTGCGCTCATTGAAAATTTACATCCTTTTGAGAATGAGTACCAGAAGGCTGTGGTTTGACGTTTTCTACGGTATAGTTGGATTTAGATGACGTTAATGGATGACAAAAGTCATAGTAATATATTGCAGGAAGAAATTGGACATTCGAACTTAAAAATCAATCAAAAACTTACTTACTTATGTTCCTTCTTATTGAATTTACCGAAAACGGCACTATTTAAAAAGTAATTTATGCCTATAACGTGCCAAAATTCATTCTTGGCAAGAAAATTCCTTTCAAAGTCCTAAAAAAAAGAGCTTGATGCAATAATGTGAGTGATTTCAAACGTAGCGGAAGTAATAAAAAAACCTAGATTCTGTTTTATTCCCTGTTAATGCTTGAAAACATGTCAAGAATTTAAACAAACGAATGGACGAAATTACATTTTCTATTCAAAGACACGGATGAACAGACAAACAGAATAGGTAATGAAATGAAAGACTGTATTCTTGTCAGCAAAGTATGGTGTATAGCTTAGATAACTTACAAAACCCAGTTATCCTAACAGCTCCGCTAACGATAATTTTTTAGGAAACGATGAAAATATTCACCTCGCTTAAACAAGTGCGAGTGCATTCCTAAAATAAAGTTCTGCCAAACAAAGCTTACGTACATCATTAGTTATAGAAAAGTTTTTATACCATTTCACGCAGTACTCTCTTGTTCCAATGTGTTTGGAAGAGTATAAAACCGTATGCACGCTATTAATACGAAATCTTTTATAATCCAAGGTATTCCAGTTTTTTTTACTTCTTTGAAAATCTGATTTAAGATTGCAAACAAAAAACATCGTTCTATACAAGGATTAAAATGATAACTAGCTAACTGTCCGTAGCATCAGTTAAATGAAGCTAACATACGTTTCGAAAATACTGACCCGTCAGCCTCAAAATGTCTGGTACCTCACGGCTTGAACCATTTTTATATGTAACGCAGAAGTTTATCGCCTCGCGATGTTTCCCTCCCGGACTGCAAAACAAGCTTTGCAGACTCAAAATTACGTATGTGTTCAGTTTAGACGTAAGTTGCGGTTTGTTATTTCTCGAAACTTTTCGACTTGATGATTATTGTTACCCTAATTTACATTCAAATCATCTGCATCCCTGAAAATTATTCGGTCAAATGTGACACAGAGGCTACATTTATTCCAAGCTTCTGCTGGTGTGAGTAGAGCGTTTTTGACGCCATATTCAAATAGGTTGTCGATAAACAAAAATAAATTCATATACAGCGTAGACAGACCTCAGCTCGAAACTGGGCAAAATCTGACAGCAATTTTTGTCTTGCTTTGTTATCATATGCACCCCTGCTAAATATTGTGACAGATTAGTTATGATTTTTAATTCCCCCACTCGTTCGCAACGGGTTGCAAAACATAAATTATTGGCACTAGCTGATAAAAGCATCTGTTTACAAAAAAATTATTTTCTAGAATCACTTTAACTTGGATAATTTCACGGAATACATCAGATAAATTAGGCCACTTGAAAGGATTTCAAAAGGAGCAAATTATTTAAAAGCTAACGGAAACAAACGAAAATGCAACGGAAGAAAACTGAATACCCAATCCAAATTATCTCTGCCCGCAAGCTACAATGTTTTCCTCGTCAGAAAACTTACCCCTTGGAAATTGTTCTAAATCTAACATATACATGAATAACTTTCATCAGCAGGGTCCTTGTCGCTCAATTGCTTAAGCGTTCGTTTGTGAGATCGGAAGAGGTTTGGGGTTCAATCCCTGGGTAGGGGACTTCTTTGACCTATTCTCGCGATGAATGTTCACATTTTCCACTCTTCAACATTCGGTCTAGCCACTTATCTTATCTCCTGTCGACTCTAGAATCTGCATCAATTTGCAAAATATTTGGAAATCTTACCATTTAAAGTAAAATGAAGGATAGAACGTTTTCTCAATTTGTGTACATCATGATTTAAACCATCGAACTGCGATTCTTTCCCGAGAGCATTCATTTTTTTTTTTTTACTTCGACTAGTACCGCATAGGTACAAGATGTATGTGAAATCATTTTGTGAACACATTTTTGGCTATCTTATCTAGAAATCTACCACAAAATTTCTTTAATTTAATTTTCAAAGCAAGGGATAAAGAGACTTTGCAGTTTAATACATATCACGAAGTCTGTGGTAAGCCACTTTCTTCCCACGGATTTTGACCTTTTGTAGTTCTCAATTGCTTGAGTGACTTTACATACACAAGGCGCTCATCAACGAGAATTAAAAATTTAAATCCACGTAAACTGTCTTGCTTAACAAAGATTGCTTGCTAGCTGATTATGCAAAGACCTCGATGATCATATTTCTTTTAAAGCTTTTTTGCCCAAACATTTTATGGGCTGTGAATGAATCATGAAATAATGACGATGAAATAATTTTGTAACAATAAAGAGAACAAAGACTCAAATAGTGTCGAGACTACTAACATCTCGAAACAGATATGGATGACTGTTTTTTAAGAACTCGATTATTTACATACCCTGTTGACCCGACTTCTCAAACGCCTTACCATCGACGCTGAAACTTTCTCAACATACAGCTTGAAAAAGTTCGTTCTTCTCAAACTATTTGTCATTTCTTTGTGTGCGAAAAAATACGAAAATCAATTTCCGTTTTTGGAATTTTGATATGTTAATGTGGCTTCATGTCAAAGATTCCATGCAAATCCATTGACAGCTGGGAGAAATTTCCTTTTTCATAAGGAGAAAAAAACACCACGGACAGATCTGTATAAAGCTTTTCCAACGTACGTGATAATGAATGTAACATATGATAATGATAAGACGCAGAACTAGGAGGTAACATTAAGAACGTACAAATGATATTTAGTCTTTCGGCCGGCTTGGAATAGAGGAGACCGTAGTTACAGGTTAAGCAACGTCGTTCATTGAGAAAGGGTTGAGAATATATTTTTTTAATACCTACCTCGTTTACATCGGCAGCTGCCTTCTTTTCTCTTCCTTTGTTGATGGTAATCTTTCGAAGTCTGTCAATGCCAAGTACACGTAATTTACCTTTGAAGCTCTTTATAAAAAGTGATGTCACTTGAGCCGGGTATACACCTTGAACTGACTCCAAGTAAATTCGTTTCCTTTTTAAGGGACGATAATTCTGGTCGTGTAGTTTTATAATACTAAGAATTAAAATTTTCTAATCAATTTTTATTGGCGAGTGAAATTAGCAAAACAAAAGGGTATGGTTCGCAAATTTAAAGCTGAAACTCTATCTACCTTTTTAGAGACTTCTATTCAGTTCTCAATCTTTTAAAGTGTCTTTTTTTTCTAGCTTTTTCTGTGAAAAAAATAATGAGATTTTTAAAGTCCAATTGACTACTTGTATCCCTGAAGCTTCAGTTATAAACTAAATAACTGGTACCAGTACAATGTCTTACCCAAGTGTTGTTTGAAAAAATAATTACAATATAAATAATGAATGAATGAAAACCCTAAGTGGGGCCGTCAGCCATTTTAATCCTCGTGTAAAGCATTTGTCTAGGGTTTTTTTTCCCGCCGTATGAAAGCAAACAGTACTTCCAAATACGTAAATGACGGAAACAGAAGTAACGTTTAATGATTGCAATAACTGTGACCCAAAGATTGGCTAATTTGTTTAAAAACACTACAGCGAGAATAAGAAACAATTTCCCATGCACTGAGTTTAGTTATGGGTAATTCTCGCATGATTGTACGAGTAACTCATATTGACATTCAACTTTCTTGGGGATCTATATTCCTGCTTTAAAAAGTCCAAAAACAAACATGTTTCACTGAGATTTCCTCCCTTATCACCGGTATTACAAGTAACGTATCATTGTCTTCAATTCTAATTAAGTTGCTAAACTCAAACAAACATATTTGTTTTGACAGTGAAACAAGCCACCAAACAAAACAAGGACATGAAACGGAAACATCAAACAAAAAGAAACAGAATAAAACAACGACGCCATCAGTGTTCTCTATCAATGGCACTCGATAGGTATCCCGTAGTTAAGCCATATTCACACGTACTTTCAGAGATACAGTTACGGCGTAACTGCATCTGAAAGAGTACGTGAGAATATAACTTTGAGTTTTACCGGTAGGTACAATCAGTATAAATATTTGGCCTGGACGGCGTTTCGTAGTGATCGTGTCTTAGATGACGAGAACAAATGGCCTCTTTTCCGTGTCTGTACTCGTCACAATGTCTACGTCCACTTATTCTGATACTATACCCTTAGAAACCGTGGTAAATATTAAGTTAATCTCAATCTCAGCTCACAACAAGATAGAAGAAAAAAACATGTCTCCTTTCCGTTTTTTAAGGATTCCTCTCCGTCAAAATCATCGATTTAACAGGTCAATGAAAGAAATGTTAACAACGGCTGGTCAGGACCATTTGATTCTAAATTGCACTCACTATAAGCCTTCGGTACTAAGAACTTACTCGGAGACAAAACAACAATCATGTTATTTTGATTCTCTATGGCATAAATTTGCTATCATCGGTGATTATAATACCTCTTTTTCATGAATTTTTCCCTAGTCTTGATTTTAACTTCCAGGCAGAGAAATACTCAAAATTTATTTTCTCACTGTGGAATAATATTTCTAAGACATCAATCGAATTTCATCGAAGGCGTCCAAAATAGAAAGGGTAGCCATTTTCCTCGAGTCCGTCTAAGAAATCAATATTGTTTCTTTGTCAAAACGGTCTTAAGTGATAATCAAAATCATCTCTTTTTTTCACTGTATCATTTTTTATTCAGAAAATCGTAGTAAAGTGTTGATAAAACCGAGAAACAAATGTCTATGAATAGAACATAAAAATTTATTCCTGTTAAATAACTTTGGAAAGAGGCAACGCTGCCGACGTTTCAAAAATTGATTGATGTGAGTTAAAGAAACATCTGGGGAACATTATTTTTTCGCAGATGATATTCAGGTGATATGATTAAAGAGTGTTCTAACCCGATAACAGCGATAAGTGTTAATGAAGGTTGTGAGTAGCATTTTAGCCAACCCTCGAGATGTTGCATTGTGTGCTGGATGTATCAATTACGTGGTTCAACCCTATCTTTTCAACAATTAAACGTTTCAACCTTACCTTTGCATGCACACTGTGCAAAAATTTCCGAACACTGATTTTTGTTGGCCTGTTTGACAGTGGACGTTCCCGTAAAATGTATGTGGATTATCTGGCCCTAATTGAACTGTAGAGAGAAGTGGAAACTACTTATTATTGCGATAAGTGCGAATTGTTTGTCTCCTTCATGAAAAGATTTTAATTATCCATAACATTCCATTTGAAAGAAGACGGTTGTCATGGCATCTTTTTAAACTGCCCTAATGTGTTTGGATTATATTTTTACTTTAAACACTTCCTGCATAATGAGAAAAGAATGAATGGCTCATTTTATTTATTGGTTACGTAAGGAAATAAAGAAAAACACATGGCCGCACTTGGACGTTAAATCTTTCTTCGAGTGTACAACTCAAAATGAAATTTATGAAAATAAAATGAAATTTATGAAAATAAAATGAAATTTATGAAAATAAAATGAAATTTATGAAAATAAAATGAAATTTATGAAAATAAAATGAAATTTATCATGAAATCTATCTTCAATTATGAAATTTATCTTAGAGTGTACAACTCAATATTTCAGGAGTGTGGGCAGGGAGCGGGTGAGATATCGACAATTAAATTCGACCTACCAAGGTAATGAACGGTAAGCGCACTGACCTTCATTCATCAGCTGAAGCTGAAAGGCGGGTGACGTGTCACCAGCTCATTGGCTTTATCAAACACGTAAACGTTAGAAATTATCGTGATTTTAGACGTGTGCGGTTATTAGTGTTCTCTTGAAGTTCTTGTAAAACACCGCAGTTTACATAGTAACAACATTTAACATTTTTCGCTTTTTTCGATTGCATAACGACTAAATTCTTAATTTTTAATTTTTTTATAAGTAGTGCAATAATCAAATTAGAAAATACTTTAATAATCTTCGAACCAATTTTACATATGGAAACACTTAGGATAAGAAGAAATAAAAATGCAATTATGGCTGGCTTATTTTGATTATTTGTTTGCATGTTTTACGATACGTTTTCATACCGAGGAACAAGGAAAGCAAAGAATCTTGATTTTCACGGAATAGCTCGAGGCCGCCCTTAAACCATTATAGAATGAATGAGTTGTCTGTAATCCGACCCTTGTGTTTGCGCAAAGATTTCTGGGATCGCCGCGGGGCAAACATTGCAAGTTGTTCGAAGGAAATAGATGGCGAAAGGTTGTTTCGACGTCCAAAAAAACGATTTTGGAGCGAGATCAGCGCTTTTTCGCCGCAACTTTATCATAAATGAATGAAGATAATGTTGACACAAGGCCTGCTTTTATACCTGTTAACATCTTGAATAAACATATTACATAATATATACCTCCTCAAAGGAGTGAAGGGAGGGGGGGTGAGGAGGACGGTTGGAGGATCAAGGCGGGATAAGTCGTCCAGGCCATAAACAATGATCAGTCCCTGATCAGTCCGCCAATGAGTGGCGAGAGTAGTTACCATACCTCCCCCTTTACGAGGAGGTCGATAACACTCCATTCCAAAAGTAATAAACTTAAATCTTTTAATTCATCTCTAATAAGCTATTTAGAGTCCCCCTTTTCCCCCCAAACAACGTTGCAAGAATGTTTATGATTATTGATTTTGTTAGCACAAGAATGTTGGTGATCAAGCCAACATTGAAATGGACGAAAGGAGAGATAAATGAAAGTTATAGAAAAAGAAAAAGTCAACAAGTAGTAGAGTGTACCAAGACTTTAACCACTCATTGAAGAAAATAATGGTAAATGACCTTAGTTTGTAAAGTGCTCAAAACCAGTAAAAGATGACTAACCAACTACTTTCGAGAACTAACAACTGATCAAAGGACAATGAAAATGGAGCATTGATTCTCGGTTGTTATCTTTATTTCACCCTTTTTTGATTCCGCATCCTAAATTAACTAAAATCGCTGCAACTGAGGTTGTTGTTTATATCTTATTTAATAATTGAACAATCGTTTGCAGAGATTGGCTGGAAGTATAGAAATGATATTGACGGTGGGCGACGAAGATGAGGATACCGATGAGGAGGGGACTTGATTTCTGCAGCCGGTCGCAACAAGGGGAACTGAAGACGCCTAGATTTTAAAATAAGCAGTTTCTTTTTCTTTATGAAAATATATTTTGCCTTTAGTTTCCTATGAACTTTGGTTTCAATTCTATATCTAGTTAGCTCGAAGGTTTTTTTACATTGTATTGCCAATTCAAAACTACTTCATGCACGCTCTTCAGCTGGAGCGTGACCACAGTCCATGAGGTGGGGAGAAACGAAATCTATACATCCGAGGTAATCAATAATTATTTCAGGCTAGTTTGGGTTCACATCTATATTTTCTACACGAATGTTTCTCCTACTTCAGCATTCCTGTGATACCATTTGTCCATGATGAAAGAGTCACTATGAAAAAAGTCGTCTTCGTCTCCTAAGTCGATAAGATTTTCTAGCTTTGCAATTTCGCTTTCTGATTCAGAGGTAAATAACGAGTTGGAGGAACACGAATGAAAGTCAAATGAATCCGACGAGCTGTCGGGTCGATAAGACCTTGTACTTTCGCTGTCGCGATCAATCGTCACCCTGGGAACGATGTCATCGATGGAGAGAATAGAATCGCTGATGTCATGCTTTATTTCACTTAATAAAGCTATTATATCAGTGAGAGAGGGATTATTGTCTTCATGAAATCCAAAGATCTCATTCCTTTCTTCCCATGAGCTGGACACAAAAGCCTCTTTTTCAAACGTAACGGCAGTTTCTGACCGCCTCTGCCACAGTAACTGCGGTATCGCTTCAAGAACTTTGATCACTGCCACTCTTGTCTTCTTAGAAAATTTCTTAGCTTTCAGTTTCATTAGTTTAAATAGCTCTAGGTCTCCGCTGCCTTCATGTCCGAGTTTACGAGATTCCGTGTATGCATCATTAAGTATAGCCAAAAACATATTCAAGAAGATCATGACAATGGTTACCATGTAAG